CTAGTGTATGGTTGTGTTTTTCCCCCCCCCCCCCCCCATGTGAGGGACAAAGATGGCTGCGTTACAACAGGAAGTGGGCCTACCAATGTGCAAATGATAGTGGAAACTCTTTATTTATTGTGATCACGCAGAAGGTAAACACGCTGCCTTTCGCTGTCCAATTCATCATTTCATTATTTTAGCCCCCACCTCCTTTTTAATTGGCTTTGCATGTGGAACAACAATTGGCAGGAGGGGAATTTTGGCCTGGAAGACGGCAGTTTGGGCACCAGCCAAGGAAGGAGCGCCATGAAATACAGATGGCAACGCATCTTCAGTTTTTTTTTTCTTTCCTTTTTTTTTTTCATTTTTACTCCCGTTTGTTTCCTCGCTCTTGTTTCCAGACAACAGTCTAATCCCTTCTTCCTCTTCTTCTTTCACAAACTTTTTTTTTTTTTTTTAAAGGAATTATGGAATTAGGGCAGCACTTCCGCCCTTGTTAATGAGCAAGAGCGTGATGAAAGAGCTCGATCTTGAGCGTGCCATCTGCACTCACTGTTCCACACATGCATACATTGTATACCTTAGAGGGAATTCTTTGCTGCGCTGTCGGATCTGGCGTGAAATGATAAAACGTCAGGAAAAAAAGTTGAGCAAGAGCACACACACACACACACGCATGGGCCCAGATGGGGCCATGTGTTGTTGCTGAATAATGCATGCTATGTAGATGCTATAAAAGATACATGGCAGGGCAGAGCTGGCCACCTTTTGACACTGAATGGATAGAGCAATGCAAAACATACATTCGTGTCATTTGCTGTGCGGTGATACGATCTCCATAAACATTGTTACATCTCATTATTAAGTAACATCTCCATTAATAACCATGGGCTCCACAGCACGCCCGTGACCCTCGTGACGATAAGCAGTTTAGAAAATGGATGGATGGATTCCAAACAGGACTAAATATTAGGTGGGTTACGTCTCACATAACACGGTTCAGTAGTAAGCCACTATTTTTTTTCCATGATTTTATTTGTAGTGCCTTTTCCTGGGTCAGTTTGTCTCACAATATAAAAAGAAGATGACATCATAAAATAGCCAGGTTGATTCAACGCAAGAAGAGCTGGTAAGACATCCTAAGCAAAAAAAAAAAACAAAAACAATCATCCATTGAAAATGCACATTAACACACAGGGGTCTGAAGGAAGTGTCGGTGAAGGGTAAATGCTGCACTCGTGTGGGGGGACACAGCAACGCTTCTTTTCTTCTCTGGATAAAGATGACAGCTAAAGTGTGCGGCGTTCAAAAACCCGGGCCATTCTACGACTATAATGTTTTGACGTAAAAAAACGCCCGAATCCCTTCCCGACAAGTTTCTTTCCTCCTCAGGCCTGTTCTTTTGTCTTTACCTTCTACCTTCCAAGTCTTCCTTAATTTGTTACGCCTTCCTTCTTCTGTACGGAAGCACACAGCAATACTGAAAGAGATACAGTCACAAAGTTTGATCATTAGGGACACTTTTGCAGGAACGGCTCCAGCTTTTCTTCTTCTCTCCCGGGGCTGAAGGGAGGCTTGACTGTTACATAAGGGCCTGAGAAAGTAATGTATAACTCATGTTCAGTAAAATGCTGTCGTGGCTAAACTGGGGCTACACATAAAAACACTGAGATCCGATGGTCCCTGAAGGCACCGACCGTTAAGCCATTCGCGCGCACGTCGCCCATCAGCGCGTACGTGCTCGTGATCGAGAAGGAAGAACTTGAGAAGTGAGGCCAAGTGAAGGAATCCCGAAGTTTGCGACGAGTTCACATACCTGACTCAAGGAGGAGTTGCCGGCTCGAAAACCTCGACGCGGGGAGGGTTTGAAGGTAAGTACCGACCGCCCTCGGACGACTTTATCGGTCTCTCGCCCCAGCCGTCGGCGTTGTTTATTTGGGTGGCGGCGTCAAGGGGAAAGCGGAACTAGCTTTAGCCGACTAGCTCCTGGTCGGCTCCGTGGGGCCACTTTGCTCGGATCCTGCCGGTCGTCGACGGCCACTTTTTTTCAGCACAATGTAAGTGACTTTTACTCATTTTCAAACAGTCTTTCCTCACACTTGGTTGTTAAGGTTTCACCGGCCGAAATTTTATGCCGTCGTCTTTATTTGATCACTTTCGCGCATGCCAGTCATGCTCACGTCACCTGTTTCTCAAGATTTTTTTTTTCTCGCGATATCACTAAATGGTTTGATTAGCACCGGTGGACTCTTACATTTTTATTGTGCGTTTTAACTAAAAAAAGTACAATTCTATCTTGTTTTCTCTCATCCCCTCAATATGAATTATATTAGTATTACATATTTTTTAGTTGTTAATCTTTCAAGTTACGATTTTAAAGCCCCCTCGCCCCCCCCCCCTGAATGATTTCCCATCAATGACTCCGGAGTAAAAGGAAGACTTTTCTTCGGTGGTCTGTGTTAAAGCGTCATCGTGAGGAAAAAGCAAAGACGTCATTTGTGTAGTGCACCAAGATCTGGTGGAACAGGTTTGGGTAGAAAAACCAGAACTCAACTCTTGGAGCACACGAGTCTGCACGTCCACATTGGCCTTTTCGAAAAGCCTTGTTGGTTAGGAGAGTCATGTGGGCGAATTGAATTGCGTGCGTGTGTATGCGCAAATGCTGGCCTTTAATTAAAAAAAAAACTTGCCCCTCTCGCAAGTATCCTAAAATTTCCCACATCTATATGGATGCAGTATATTATAAATATTTAGGCTAGGCAATATGGCCTTAAAATAAAATCTCCCTTTCCCCCCCCCCCCCTTCATAAATACGTTTTGTTTTGCTTTGACGAATGCATGATTCAAAATGTTTTGCTTTGTATTTTTTTTTTCTACTGATATCAAACCAAAGTTTCGACTTCAGCAGAAATAATAATAATAATGAAATGTTTTAAATTTTTAAAAAGGCGATGCATTCCTTAGTGCCAGTAAATGATTGTTTTTTAACTCTACTCAATTGTTTTTTTTTTTTTTTGTCAATTTAGGTTTAATCTGTTAGAAAGGGAGCATGTAAAAAAAAAAAAAATAAATCTAAAGTCATCTCGACAAGCTGATGCTCCCTTTTCCTTTTGCCGTTTCCCGTTCAAAGTGCCATCGCTGCAGCTTTGACTCCAAGGGAAACGTTGGCAAAGGAAGCGGGCGACGGGTTTCGACTAAGCAGAATTCCTCCACGGTTTCCTCGCTCCCCCGATGGCTTTGTCGAGTTTTCACCGTTTGTGTGCCAAAATGCGGCAACCGTTGCAGCGCTTGAAGGAAGTTGGGGGCGCGACGCAACATGAACAGTGACTTTGAACGCACGGCAACATCCTCGGAGGAGAGCAAGTCGGGGCTTGCTGATGCCGTCTCGATTACTTTTCGATGCCCGCAAACAGCGTTCAACTGTCACAATCGGCCTGGATTGCGTTTTCGTTGCGCTAAACCGCCGTGATGCAGTAAAATCTCACCGGGCCTGTCAAACGTTGACTTGCAGCCATAAAAGAAAGAAGCAAGGAGATCACCGAGGATGGACTATTAACTACCTCCGGATCCCGAGAGTTGAAAATCCAAACATGAAAAGGTGCCTTGTCGTAACCTCAACATTAAAGCGGGCACGTGTACACATGAGCGGAAGTTTGAAGTTGCCGTTTCCAAAGCACCCGAGCGCTTGACGCAAAATCATTGAAAGCACTTTGACCTATTTCCTCGTTCTGAAATTCCTCGCGGTCCAATTGCCAGCCAAAAAAACTGTTTGGCTTGCTCTGTACCTCGGCTTTAATTAAGCAGGCACATGGAAACGTGTGACGCTTGATGTGAATCGGAAACTGTTGTGCGATTTTCTCACGCGCTTGTTCCCGAAGCGGTAACTCTCGCCCCGACTTTCCTTGCGAAAGATTGAGCAATTCAGGGAAGCGCCCCTTTTTCTATCCAATCATGGCGCTCGCCTGTGGCATGTTCCAAACTGGTGTTTGATGAGCATTCCTCAACTTTCTCCGTCTTTTTTTTTTTTTTTTGCCATTTTGACACAGAAAGTCTGCCCCCCCCCCCTTCCCAAATTATTTTACTACGATAAAAAAAACAAATGCTCGCTAATCCCGTTGAGTGCACGAGCTAGCGATGGCTCCAGCTCACACGAGGCACTCAACCCGCAGAACGTTCACCGCCGTCCAACCTGACGCTCATTCGTTGACGCCCACGGCACTCACCGGGCCAAGTCGCGTCTTTCAAAGCCGCAGAACTCCGGGGATGGCAAACCCGAGCGGACAACACGGTGCCTGCTCGCCACGTGCGCGTTGTCATCGGTCGAGGACTTGGATTCTCAAAATGATTTGAGAGCTGCAGCCCCAGTCAAGTGGTAAAAGTGTTGTAGAATTGCTTTACCCAGAGGTGTCTCCTTCATTCCCATGTTACCTCCGATTGTGGTCAGATGTTGACTTTTACAGGTAGAAAAAGTGGCTAGTGGCAAAATAAAAGACTGATTTTCTAGTCCTAAAGATGTCAAATGTTGACTCGACAAACTCCATCTTGTGACTCTCTGCGTTGCTCTTTGTACTCATTGTGACGCAGTCTCATAACCAATCCATTCCAATTTCTGTTGGCAGGTGTCAATGTTCAGACTCGTGACTACACTCCAACACCTGACAGTGGCTCTTTGTTAGCAAAAAAAAAAAAGCACTCCAACACCTGACAGTGGCTCCTTGTTAGCAAAAAAAAAAAAAAAAAACGCTTGATATATTTTTGGGACTCAAAAATCAGCCATTTTTCTCAAATTGGAGAGCCGATGGCAGCCATTTTGGACTAATTTTCAAAGGCCGACAGAAAATTGAGTTCTGTTGCTTGATAAGCATGAAACCTAATAAAAGAAAGTGCTTACCCTCTTCTTAAAAAAAAGCCCCTCAGTCAAAAAAAAGTAAATTTCTACCTTTCGCCATTCTTGAGTAAACAGTTGAAAATTGGTAAGCTTCTTGAAAATACTCTTTTCCTCAAAACAATCTGAGGGAAAAGCTTTTTGTTTGATGATATTTTATTTATTTATTTTTGCATTTGCGATGCCTCAAACATCCAAACAACGCTTTCCTACAAAACCACACAAAACGGGCACTTTGAGCGCAAAACAAGAGTTGATTGCAAGAGAAACACTGCACTGACACGTGAACTATGCGTGAACTTTGCATGAACGTTGACCTTCCTCCTTGCGCTCACCACGACACTGCTTTCGCACTTTTCTGCTCACGCGGGATCGCCGTACTGAATACGCCCACGCTCTCACGTTGCGTAGATCTTTTCAAAGCCACTCCTCCCTTCTTGTGGCGATTGATCATGCCGAAATCATTCCCCAAAGCCTTAATACTTAATGAGGAGCCATTTTGATCGATTTTTCTCCATCGAATAACTTGTGGCGCTCTCTCGCAGGCCGCAGACTATCGAGCTCAGTACCACAGGAGGAGCGTCCAAACTGGACAGCGGCAACATGGACGACATGACGGTGGAGCAGATCGCCGCCCGGGCCAACCAAGTGACGGACGAGGTAACGCGAGCCCGTGAGCAAGGCGTCGCCCGAACGGAGCCCTTCCGAAACGAGACGATTGCAAATCGGTGTCTCGCTGACGCCGGGAGCCGCCGGCGGGGATATTTACGTTTTCACCCTGCACAGCTTAGGCAAAATTAGTTGTAGTCGGACTTGCCGGTGAATGACAATTGACGTGACGCGGCGCCTTGTCTGTCCAGACACAATTGAGACAACGCAGTGAGAGGTGCGTGCGGCTCCCAGTAGCTCAGGACTATAAAAATGTGCAAACAGAGTTCTGGCTTTTGTCTTAACCTTATAACCACGGGCATACCGTTGGAGTGTTTCGTCTTATGCTGATTTTTTTTTTTTTTTTTTTTTCAATCTTCGTGTTTTATGCAATGCGCTTACGCTAGTCGACAACTTTGAACGGCTGCTACTTGACACCTGACCGCTCGGATGACCGACTTGTGCCGCTTCTCCCGCTTGAATGTGTGGGCGCTCGATGATGTCATGTTTTTCTGTCTCTTCCTTCCTTCTGCCTACGCCCGCTCGGCTGACATCCTGTCGCCTTCTGCTCAGTGGAGGTCAGAAACGAGTTCACTATCAAACGATGTGCATCGAGAGATCATATGACTATTTTGCACGTGCCCGGCCGGGGTCGCGTATCAATCAAAATGCCGATGTTCTTTTGCTATTCTCGGTGATTGCGGGTCATGGTCATCAACAAAGGTGAAATCAAGGCAACTAGACTCTTCTTTGTTGAATTTTTTCTTGTCTGAAAACATTCAAAAAGTGACCTTGGGCAGCTCTGCTAAAAGGTGAACGAGATCTTTTTTTTTTTTTTTTTGAAGCATAGCCCTGATACTCTGCTCTACCAGTGAGGAGAAATAAAAGCTGAAGATGCTTCGTTTTGATTGACACCCTCAAAGAGATCTTTTCATTGACTGAGGTCTTCTTGTCGTGGTCAATTGTTTGCTAAAAATAGAAATCGCACACCTGCAGCAGCCGCCTTCCCAAGTCATTGCCTGCATCGTGTTTTCCATTCCTCGCGTGTTTTGTCACCTGACAAGTAGGCGGGGCGGCGGTGCCTTTGTGAACAGGAATGGGAATTTAGAATCCAAGATAACATATATCGCTCGTTCTCCATTTTGTTTTTGTAGTCGCTGGAAAGCACGCGCAGGATGCTGCAAATGGCCGAGGAGGTGAGACCCGACGACCGCCCTCGTCATCATTCGGCGTTCCCTCGACTGAACGACCGGAAGGGAGCCGACAAACATTCTTGCATCGTTTCCCGGTTAATGACGTCCTGCTGTTTGCTGTTTGCAGAGCAAAGAAACTGGCATTAAAACCATGGTGGTCTTGGACCAGCAAGGAGGTGTGTATGCCACTTACCCCTAGATTGTGGGAGGGGGAGGAGGGGAGGGGGGGGTCCACTGTCGTCTAAAAAGTCAATAAGTCTGTTTGACATACTTTGGTGGAAGACTTTTTCTTTCAATCAAAATGTCGGCCACGGTGTCTTTTTCCGCACTAATGGCGGTGAACGCCGCACCGGTGTTTCAGAGCAGCTTAATCGCGTGGAAGACGGCATGGACCAGATCAACCAGGACATGCGGCTGGCCGAGAAGAACCTGACCGACCTCTCCAAGTGCTGCGGACTTTGCATCTGTCCGTGCAACAGGTACCAAAACGCGCCTCTGCCGTGACAATGCTGTGACCCCTGCGCGCTCGCAGAAAAGTCAACGTCGCCCTCCTCTGTTCCCCCCCCCACCCCCCACCAGAGTTTCATCCATCGAGAACGACTCCCGATACAAGCGCACGTGGGGAATCGGAAGCGGACTCGACAGCGAAAGCAACGGCGACGGTTCCAAAGTGGTGTCGAAACAACCCGCGGGCGTTCGGAACGGTCAAGCCGGCCAAGTCAATGCGCCGCCGCCGTCTGGGCCGTACATCAAGAGGCGAGCGTTGCGCCTTTGGGCCCTTTCCTCGATGGATTCTTCGTATCATAGATTGTTTTGTTTTTTTAAACTGAGGATTACAGGCCGGATAAAGTTGAGCCATTCAAACGTTTCGGTCTCTCTAACGGCGCTTCTTACTGGGAGACTTGTCAACGTTTCAGGATAACCAATGACGCCCGCGAAGACGAGATGGAGGACAACCTGAACGCCGTCGGCGGCCTCATCGGCAACCTGAAATCGATGGCGGTGGACATGGGCACCGAACTCGACAAGCAGAACAAACAGATCGACCGGATCACCGACAAGGTAACACGGGTTCCCGTATCTGACCGAATATCCAATCCTCCGACCGTTAGATCATTTAAAAAAAAAAAATATATATATATATATATTTTTTTTTAGATACTTCATGCATCCTGTGAAAGCAGCATCGTTTGCATGCGTATAATGCATTCATTTTAATCATATAGAACAGATTACAAACCAAAAAAAATTTGCAGCTTTGAAGAAGTATTAAAATGAATGTTAATGTAGAAAAATATTGTCACTATTTTCTTAAAATTCTTTTTGTTTTTTTTAACTGTTCTATTTGGGTTAAAACATTTTTCCTGATCATGATCACCACTTTGGTTTCTCGCCCAAAATATGACTCTCATCTAATAATGTCTTGTGTGACATGACAACTTTATTTTTGTAAGATTCTGACAATTCTTGCAGCATTACAATTTTTTACTCCCAAAAAAAATTCAGACTTTTTTTTTCTCTTCTCCTTGACAATTTTGACTTTATTCGTGCGTGATGACAGCTCCCCTCCCAAGTCCCCCCCCAAAATTACTTTCTCTTGTGGTGACTTTTTTTTCATAGCATTATAACTTTGAGTCATATTTCTTTACTCAACAAAAAAGACAATTTTTAAAATTTCCAAATGTGTCATTGTGTTTTACTCACTGCTCACCTTTTTTTTTTTTGCATCCAGGCGGACATGAACAAAGTGCGCATTGACGAAGCAAACCAGAGAGCCACCAAGCTCATCAACTAAGAAGGCGCTCTCTCCATCCCCACACACGCATACACCAGCACAGCCACGCAAGAACACACAATCGTCTTGAGTAGAATAGGAGAGAGGACCAGTGAAAGGACGTTTTTTTCGATAACAAAAAATAAATTTCAAAAACAGCTTTCTCCACACACACACACACACACACACACACACACACACACGACAGCCATGCAAGAACACAAGCTCGCTATGCAGAGCGCCAAATGGTTCATGTTATACGGGATCCCTCAAAAGACTTCCAACCGCTTTTAAAAATGGCCACCTCTCGGCAGCAAAAACCCGTTAGGGAACGCATTGTTTTGTAGGTGCCGCTCTCGACATGGCTTCCACCTGCAGACCAGTTTTAATCCCCCCCCATCAATGGTTATTGTATGTGTCTAATTTCAAACCATGCATCTATTTAATTATTCCTTCAAGCAGAGCTGTGAATGAAATCACCTCCCCGGACCCCTTTTTAAACATATTTAAAATTCAAAATGTGCTTCCTCCCTGCCGTGTCCCCGATACGTGGCCCGGCGTCCGAGGGATCGACAAGTGGACAAATGGATTGTCATGTAAATATCCTTGTTAGCGATTAGCATGCTAGCATTCAGGTTTGGTCATCGGTGCGCGGCCGCTCGCTCCGCATGTACATATGTTCGCTCGGCAGCACGTTAAAAAAAAAAAAAAAAGCCTTTGCGTTTTGTTGAATTGTTTGTACTCAGTAATAAAGCTATCCAAGTATGAATGTCATCTGCTCAGTCTTTTTAAATTTGCGCCACAGGCATGCGACCCTTGCAAAAATACACATGTGGACCTCAGCCGATGTGCTTCAAAAATCAGTCGTTTTGGAAGTCTGGGGGGTTGGGGGCGGGTTCACTCTGAGCTTTTTCTTGTTGGCACACAAGAGTACAAAAGGCAGAGTCGATCTTGATTGGTATTTAGCAATGATTCACTCATCCCCCCCCCCCCCCCCAAAAAAAAACCCCCAAAAAAAAACATTCCCAGGTGAACAGCAATTTTTGTGACTGAAAACAAAAATGACCAAAAAAAAGGAGTCGTGGTTGGCGTCACAGTAGCAGTCGATGAATAAATCCAATGAGGGGTTGTGATACTCGAGCCACACACAAATTCAGAATTCGGAATATGACGAGGTTTATTGTTGTGAAAATTAACAACTTTGCCAGAAAAGTTTCATGTTACAAGAAAAATAATCAAGAATAAAGTTGAAATTTTCGGGAATGTCAAAACTCCCGGTAGACGTAAAAGCAACAGTCTTACCAGAAAAAAATGACTACTGTTCAAGATTTTTTTTTTCCCTCCCTTAAAACTTCTCAACGTGTTATTTTTTTCTCCGCATGAAAAGTGATACTTATAAAATTTGGACAGTTTTCTTTCTTTTTTAAATTCATCTTGTGCTCCTATTTTCTACAACAAAAACATTTTTTTATTTTGGGGGCGGGGGGGTCATTTTCAATTAAAGGTTTTTGTATTTTTCCCCAGAAAGTATTTTACTATTCTCCAAACATTGACTTTCAGGTCATCCTTTTATAATTTAATATTACAATTTTATCGGTTATTTTTATTTTTTTAGCAAAGGTACTCTGTTATTTCAGCGGGAAAAATGGTCAGAATTTATAGCAAACAAACACAAATGTTTTTCTCTGAAACATATTTGCTGTCAATACTTAATTTTTCAAGATCAAACATTTTTGAGGAGCTAAAAATGGTGACTTGGCTGTTTTTCACTAAAATACGAATTTAGTACATCTTCTGTAGTTTATACTTGCATGAATTTCTTTTCAGGGGAAAAAAAAAATCATGGGAGCAAAGTCATTTTTTTCTGGCAAAAAAAATATATATATTTGTCAAGAAAGCAAGTTCCTTTGCGTGTGGCCCTCTTTTTTGTAGCTTAGCGCCACGTGTCGGTAATTAAAAACTAGCGCAGAACCTGACCATCGATACAAATATTTTGCTGAAAATAATGGACACAGCCCGACTGCTACTACGTTGACAGAGCTTCTCCAAAGGAGTTGCGTGTGCACAGTATCGTTAACAGTTCATCACCGGTGTGTGTGAGGAACAAAAACAAACTTGTCATATGTGGCAACCTCCAAACATGCGGCTGAGCAAAAATACAAATAATTCTTTGGTTAAGTGTGAAAAGAGCTTTACTGTGCTTTCTTTAAAAAAAAAAAAAAAAAAAATTGGCGACCTTTCCTAAACTGTGTTGGCTTAAATACAAGTAAAAGAACCAATGTTGATATATATATAAAACAATTCAATGTGGCGTGCCAGGTTGCCATGGCGACGCCCACCAACCCGAAGGCCTCTCACTTCTTCTTTGCAAAGCGGCTGAACTTTTTCTCTTTGTCTTTCTTGGCAGAGGGGCCAGGTGAGGTAGAGGAGGAGGAGGCCGGCGGAGGCAGACTTTGGCTTTTGGCCCCTGAGGGCCCCTCCACTGCAGCCTCTTCTTCCTCCGCGGGCGATTGAAGGGCCCTCGCCATCGCCTGGCTCCAACGCTGCAGCTCCTCCTGAAAGGTCCAATGTTCCCAAAAGGGTGGTTAGCTTATACTCTTGCTGGGGGGGGGGGGGATTCGCTTTGGGATTTTGAAAAAAAGTCAGAATGGTAAATATGATTTCGTCAAATGTTTTTGTTGAAAAGTAACTTAGGGGGAAAAAAAAATAAGGAAACTTGCTCAAAACATGGAAAAATTGTACCTTTTGCAAAAATACTCATCAAATATCCACATTTCAGAAGTTTTCATTTTTTTTCCTCACAAAATTACAACTTGCTATAAATACAGCTTTGTCTACTAAAATTCCGTGGCAGCCAATTCCAGACCCTCCTTTACTCAACAATTGAAAAAAAAAAAGCTAAAAATAAATCAGTATAAAGGGTACTGTCTTTTCTTAAAAAAAATAAAATAAAATTGACAAAATTGTTAAAAAAAAAAAAAAAAAACAGTTTTCCTTGTCAAAAAAAGGCATTCCAGTTTGTTTTTAATTTGTATTTATTTTTCCCCAAAATAAACTGACCTCGTCTTTACACTGGAACAAATATTCACTGCCATCTTCAAGGCTGAGAAAGAGGAGAGGAAAAAAAAAGATAGTTGACATGCACGGAAATGGCTTTCGCTCATCGACAAGAGACGAGACGGCGTGCGCCTCACCATAGTTTGCCAACGTGCTTCTTCTTCTTATAGTTGGCCAGCAGCTCCCAGCTGGCATTGGCCAGGGGCAGCGGGTCCTCGCCGTGAAAGGTGGCGCCCTGGCCGAAGCTTTTTGCATCCTTGTAGGCTGACAGCTGACCGGGCCTCAGAACGCAGTACAAGTTGTTCCACGATCTACAGCACGCATAAATCGCATTCCGGTCGACAACATGAAATGTTTTCCACCCGTACTAAACTCATGTCAGCACTGTTGTCATGTGTCACAACCTACGAGTCTCGCGAACGGTCCTACGACCAAAGTGGCTCGTCTCACCTACTGGAGGCCTTCTTCCTCGAGCCTCCCACGTCCTGCTTGCGCCCCAGAATTCCCTCCAGCAGCACCGTCTGGGCCCGCAGCGCCTCGATGGGCAAGGTGGCCGCCCGCTCCGGTTCGTCAGCCAGCGCCGAGATGGATGCCTCAAGCTCCAGAGAGCCGCTCTCTCTCATTTCGGATTCCACGGGCACCGTGGCGTCGGCCGCTGTCCCCTCGGGGATGCCCGAACTGGGCTCAGCCACTCCGGACTGGAGGAGATATGATTTTATACACTGGCACGAAAGTATTTGTGCCCTTCTCAAATTCTTAATTTGCAGTTACCCCATATTAATGTTTAAGATCATCATTTCAATGTAAATCTCAGGCAAAGATTACCCAAGAACACATAAAATGCTCTTTTTAAAATTGTGATTCAAGCAAACGGGTCCGATGAAAAAGTACTTGACCCAAAACCTGACCACTGCTTGAAATTGAGTGTTTTCCATTAACAGGCAAATGCGTTTTGTACGTCTCTATGGCTTAATTGAACAAGACCGCAGGCTTTTCCAGCACAAGTTCTCAGTTCTGACTTTGACTAGGCCACTCCAAAACCTTCATTTTGGAAGGCATTCAAAAGTTTTGACTTTTGCTGGTGTGGTTTGAATCTATTCCAAAACCCAAATGCGCTTCAATTTAAGGTCACAAAATTGATGACTGGAAATTCTCAAAGAATTTCTGCTAGAAAAGCAGAATTCTGAGTCGTCAAGGTCCTGAACGAACAAAGCAGCCCCAGACCATCACACTATGCCTACATTTGACTCGCATTGTTTGACACTTAATAAAAAATAGCATTTCAGCTTGACTTGGGTTGCCTTTGTCTGACATTTGTTTGATGAAAAGTGTCGAAATGATGCACACACTGACTCACCAGAGTTTCTTCCTCCACTGTGAAGAGTTGCGAAGACTCGGCAAAGCCCGTGTCTTCTCTCCTGCTCGGAAGAAAGTTTTTCAGTATCTTGGGTGCGCATGTGTACAGTAGGTAGTCGTTAATGTTATGAGTGGACAAAGGGTAGGCGCGCGCGTACCTGCTCTCTTGCTCGTAGCGCCGCTGCTCTTGCACAAAGCGCTCCATCTCCTGCTGCTGCTTCCTCAGCTCCAACAACTCCAACTGAGCAAAGAACAAAGACCACTTTTGTCACGTGGAACGTTTGCGGTTGTGACCCTCGCTAAAGGTTGGGCCCTACGGTGGTGAGGCGTTCGAGGGCCGAGAAGCGCTCCTCCCAGGCGGCCGTGGACTTCTCGAAGGCCTCGTGGCGCTTGAGCAGTTTCTCCACGTCGTCCACCGACTGGCCGAGGTCCTTGCTGCTCACGTGCGGCTCCTGAGCCACCAGCCAGGCCTCGGCCACCGAGGCGTCGCGCGCAAACTGGCACACCTCCAACACTACACAGGCGCGCACACACACACACACACACCTTTAATTTCTTTGGAAGTTGCTCTGGGCTCTTTTGTTAGCATTCGTTTGATCAGTCTCTTCAATTTTGACTTCCAGGTAGGTTGGCTGCAGTTGCGAGATTTAGATTTCTGAATGAATGTGCACGCCTAATATGTTTGTCCGTGATTTTCCTGACAACTCCCTCGTTTGGTTCCCGTTTCACGTTGACTGTGGTACACACCACGTCCCCATGTCGCGACGGGCGGCTTGGTGATTGTCTGAAAGCCTTGACCTTTAACGTGCTTGTCGATATCATTTTCTTTCTAATCTCTCATGACAACACGCTTCCATCCTGTGGTCCGTGTTTAGTGTGGTACACGCCGCACCGCTGGTCACCTTTTAGATGGATCGACTGCACAACTTTAATTTCTTTGGAAGTTGCTCTGGGCTCTTTTGTTAGCATTCGTTTGATCAGTCTCTTCAATTTTGACTTCCAGGTAGGTTGGCTGCAGTCGCGAGATTTAGATTTCTGAATGATGGTGGACCTGTAGACACGCATGCACGCCTAATATGTTGTCCGTGATTTTCCTGGCAACTCCCTCGTTTGGTTCCTCTGTTTCACGTTGAGTGTGGTACACACCACGTCCCCATGTCGCGACGGGCGGCTTGGTGATTGTCTGAAAGCCTTGACCTTTAACGTGCTTGTCGATATCATTTTCTTTCTAATCTCTCATGACAACACGCTTCCATCCTGTGGTCCGTGTTTAGTGTGGTACACGCCGCACCGCTGGTCACCTTTTAGATGGATCGACTGCAGTTTGAAGACACCTTTGATGCGAGTAAGAGCCGGGATGTCCCGAGGGTCAAATTAACTTTTTCAGGAGTAATCTCTTTTACAGTAACAATTTTGTCCACACATGTAAGAAAAAGTTCCGCTTCCGAAGAAAGGTTACTTTTGGTTTGACGTTGCAGATGCTTCATATTAAACAAATACGCTTTGGAATATTTGATCGAGCCTGTTGCCATTCAAAGGTGAGACGCCGGCACATTTTCTTCTGTTCGATTTTTTGCGCTCACAAAGTCGTAGCCAGTCCCAGCGGTCGTCCCACTTGAACATCATTTTCTGACGTTTGTCCTCCAGCTGCGTCATCTTCTCTTGGATCTTTTGACAACGACAACAAAACGATGAACACAAATTGGTGGCAATGGAAAAAAGACTGCCGTCGCTCGGTGCCGACCTCGGCCGAGTCTCGGTGTTTGCTGGCCAGAAGGGCCGCGCCCAAGTCGCTGCATTCGGTGAACTTGACGCCGCGGGCCTCGATCTCCGAGCGGATGCCCTGGTGGTACTTCTGCAGAAGCTCCACGGATGACACATCGCTGGAGTACAAACACATTGTTGAAAAAAAAAAATTTACAAGTACGCCAAAGGATTGCACAAGAGGTACAGTTGTGTCGTAAATCAACGACTTTGAAACGTTAGCCCTAGTTTCAAACCCTACTTTAGTAAACGAACTTTAGGGTCAAACCCTAATTTGAAATCCTTACACCAGTTTGAATCCCTCAATTAAAAACGCAAAACCTAATTTAAAACTCTACTTTGAAACTTAACAGTAGTTTAAAATCCTTCTTGGAAACCCGAACAAGTTTCAATCCCTAATTTAGAACCCTAACCTGAACAATAACCCTAACCCTTAAGTTTAAGGGTTAGGGTTGGGGGTTGGGGTTGGCCTTAGGGTTTAGGGTTAGGGTTTAGGGTTTAGGGTTAGGATTTGGGTTTCGGGTTAGGGTTTTGAAACCGTATATAAAAGTTTGAAACCCTAACCCCAGTTTGCAAAACCAATTAGAAACCCCAACCCTAGTTTGAAACCCTAACCCTCATTTGAAACCCTAACAATTTCAAACCTGATTTTAAACCTGGTTTAGGGTTGCAAAGTACTAATTAGAAACCCTAACCCTGGTTTAAAACTGTAACCCGAGTTTGAAACCCCAATTTGATACCCAAACCCAACTGTTAGGGCTTGCTCCATCTTTTTTCTGTTTTTTTTTTTTGTTTTTTTTTCACCGTGGCTTCTCCTGGGTGTCGATCTGCTGCCCGATGCTCTCCATCCAGGCCATGAGGTCGCGCACCATGGCGAAGAAGCGGAACTTGTGGGCCGTGTCCAGCAGCCGCTTTCGGCGGCCGTCGCAGGCGGCCAATTTAAAACTCTACTTTGAAACTTAACAGTAGTTTAAAATCCTTCTTGGAAACCCGAACAAGTTTCAATCCCTAATTTAGAACCCTAACCTGAACAATAACCCTAACCCTTAAGTTTAAGGGTTAGGGTTGGGGGTTGGGGTTGGCCTTAGGGTTTAGGGTTAGGGTTTAGGGTTTAGGGTTAGGATTTGGGTTTCGGGTTAGGGTTTTGAAACCGTATATAAAAGTTTGAAACCCTAACCCCAGTTTGCAAAACCAATTAGAAACCCCAACCCTAGTTTGAAACCCTAACCCTCATTTGAAACCCTAACAATTTCAAACCTGATTTTAAACCTGGTTTAGGGTTGCAAAGTACTAATTCGAAACCCTAACCCTGGTTTAAAACTGTAACCCGAGTTTGAAACCCCAATTAGATACCCAAACCCTACTGTTAGGGCTTTTGCTCCATCTTTTTTCTGTTTTTTTTTTGTTTTTTTTCACCGTGGCTTCTCCTGGGTGTCGATCTGCTGCCCGATGCTCTCCATCCAGGCCATGAGGTCGCGCACCATGGCGAAGAAGCGGAACTTGTGGGCCGTGTCCAGCAGCCGCTTTCGGCGGCCGTCGCAGGCGGCCAGCAAGGCCTGCCAGGCCTGCAGCGCTTCTCGCTCCTGCGCCTGGATGGCGTCGGCTCGCTCAGCGGCGTACTGAGCCCGCAGCCTGCCCGCCGTCTCCTGCAGCTGCTCCACCTTCCGGGGGGGGGACGCACGCGTCATGCTCGGCCCGCGCATTTTTCCTCTTTTTTTTAATGTAAACATCGCGGTTGCATTGTGTTGAAAAACATATTTTTAGGCTTAGCAATGGCAGGTAAAACAATTACATAATGTGAAATACAATACCAGTTTCATTCATTTTTCATGTCTTTTAAGAATCCAGACATTCAGTCACAGGTAATTATTCCAAGATTTTTAAAACATTTTTATGCGGAGGGTGATTAAACGAGATCAATACATATTTATGAAACACACACAGACACACACACACACACATATTCGGAATTGTCTCTTGTGTATTTTATGAATATGAATTTATTCATGTTTGTCGTTTTCCTGTTTTGAAAGGGTCATGATTGGATTTTGACTCAAATAATCGTTGGCAATGCTTTTTTCCACACGTCCACCAGGGGGCAGCATATAAAGCCACAATCCAAACAAGGGTAACCCTGACCTGCTTTCCCAGGGAAGTGATGTCACGTTCGAAGGCGGCGTGCATCCTGTGAAAGGTCTCGGCTTTGCTGAAGTCCTCGCCCACGTCTTCGGGAAGCTCCTTCTGCTTGTCGCCGATCTGGACCACCAGCTCCTTGCCGTCGTCAAAGTACCTTCGGACCGGTGGGATTTCATGTTCCATCCAAATCCGCCACCGTACGCACGCGTCGTGGGACAATATTCGTCTCGCTTACTTGAGCAGCTCGTAGGAGGCGTTGAGTAGCTGAGCGCGTGTGTCGATGAGCTCCAGGAGGTCGGCCCAGCTCTCGTTGATGAGGTCCTTCCAATCGGCCATGGCGATGGCCTCGCCGTGGCCCGCCTCGAGTCGATGGCGCGGTTGACGGCTTCGACGCGCTTCTGACCCTGCGCGCCCGTCTCGCGCGCAAACTCTCGGAACTTGTCCCTCAGGAGCTGACAGCAAACAAGACAAGGGCGTTAAAACTGCTGCTTCGGGACAATAACCATTTACGCTTGCTTATTTGATGTTATGAAAACACGTAAAAATTTTTTTGTTTGCTTACTAGACAGCGGCACCACATGTCTGTTACAATCTGTTGCTACAAAGGCCATAGCATTGATCCTAGTTTTGTTAGCCCTTCTATGGGATTTTGCATTGTGTGTTAGCATTAAGCTAGCAGCCTTTCATCAGACAAATATGCTAAGTCTTTTGGTTTGAAGTTTAATTTGGCATCAAACTTCAACCGGAGTGGGTCGAAACAACAGCCATCTTTTGTTTTCATTCTTGACGGTCAACAATTTGTCCAGTCGACTGTACCGTGACGTGGTCCAGGTCCTGACCCATCTCCTGCGAGGACGCGGCCACGTCGCGCTCGGAGATCCACTGCTCCAGGTCGTCCACCTCGCGGCTGAGCAGGAAATGTTGATACGCGTGCTCCAGATTCCTGCGCCGGTCCTCGGCCAGCTCGCTCAGACCGGCGTATTGCTTGTCCACTTGACCCTGACGCCGGATGATCTTCTCGCTGCGCCGCAGGGAAAGTGAAAAGACTCAAAAACTCGTTTGATTTGAGACGCATTTCGTGGCATTTGTAGAGAAGGCGCAGACCCGTCGGGATGGTCCTCCGCGAACATGTGCTGAGCTCGCTCGGACAGGTTCCGGATGGAGTCGGCGTAGTCGTCCACGGCCTGCTTGACGATGTTGTGACGCTTCAGACTCAACATGGCGCTCTGCTCGTCCTGCGCGGACGGGAGGACCAGATTCCTGCTTTTGGTATCGCCCAAACTTGGCATTTGACCAGGGGGGCGTGGACTTTTGCTGTACCTTGGGCTTTTCCTCAGCGATCATGTAGAGCTCCTGCTCGCCGATCCACGCTTGGGCCTCGTCGGCGTCGTTGTAGAACTGCTGCGCCCGATGCGAGGCGTCCAGCCTGTCCTTGCGTCGCGTCATCTGCTCCCGCAGCCGCGGCCACGCCTCCTCCAGCTCGCGCAGCTGCCCGGCCAGCCGCTCGGCCTCGGGACCTCTGTCCTCGCCCGCGGTCGCCGCCATCCCGCGTCCTCGTTCCAGCACCTCGTCCACGCGGGGCTGGTGGCCCTCGATTTCCTTCTGCAGTGTCTGCGCAAACCAACGTTTCACTTTGGCAATGTTCATTTTGGGTTTTTTTAAAGAATATCAATCACCTGTCACCCTTTAAAGTACCCCTAAATAAGACCAAATACATTTCAGATGTTCCAGTCGGCTTTTTCTGACATTTTCTTTGCTTTGTAGCAGAAGCCTGAATGAAGATTTTGTTTTTTTTTTACAAATATCTGAAAATATTCCATCTTTTTTTTTTTTTTTAATGTTACTCCAGCTGACCCGTTTGCCACTCGACATAATCTCAAGCTACCTGGTTCCTCTTAAGCAGCATCTGCACTGTTTGGAGGTCGTTGCCGTGATCTTGTGACAGAGCCAGCGGCATCCTCTCTTCAATCCACAGCTGGAAAAAAAAACAAAAAAAAAACGACAAAGACAACAAAATGTCAGGACATCTCAATAGGAAAACAAATCAATTAAAATGTGTTAAGGCTCACCAGCTCATCGGCCAGGTCTCTGTAGAACTGATGCACGGCCTTGGCCGCCTCCAGCTTGCCTCTGCGTTGGGCTAGGGGTGCAATAAGCTGCTGGAATTGCACCTGCAGGTTCTGCTGCTCCACTTCCAGCTCGGGCTGCTGCAGTTCGTCGCGCCCACTGCCGCCGCCATGCATCCTCAGCGCCCGTTGGAGCTCCTCCAGTTCCCGGGCACGATCTTGCACTTGGTTCTCCATCACCTGGTCCCCATGATAAGTGGGGGAAAAAAAAAGTTCTATTGCATGGAGCATCTGTGTGGGGTAACGAGGGGAAAAAAAAACAACAACCCAAATGCTAACCCTAACCCTGGTCCTAAACCTAACCCGATCCATGACCCTAATTTTAAACCCTTACGTCCTAATTTGCCCTAACCATATGCCCAAATCTTAACCCTAATCTGTAACGCCCTAACCCTAACCCGAGTCCTTACCTAACCTTCTAAACCCCAAACCCTAACACCTAACCCTAACCCCCTCACACCTAACCCGAACCCTTACCCCCAACCCTCACCCCCTAGCCCTAGTCCTTACCTAAACCTAACCCTAACGCCAACTCCTAACTTTAAACCCTAACCCTCTAACCCTAAACCTAAACCTAACCCCACAACCCTAACCCATAACTTCAAACCCTAAGCCCTTCATCCTCAAGTTAAACCTAACCCCCCCTTAACCCTAATCCTAACCCCTAACCCGAACCGCCTATCCCACTAATCCATCACTCCTGCCGCTCAAGAAAAAGTCACCCTGGCGGTTTCTTCTGTGGTAGCAAAAGCGCCATAAGAGGCCCACCTGGTGTTTCTTGAGAAGGATGTTGGCGTTGGTCAGGTCTCTGACATCTTCGCCGCCGTTAACGTCATCGCCACCCGTGCTCTGAAGCTGCTGCTGCAGCTCGCCCAGCCACTTCCTGATGTCCGCCAGGCTCTGATCAAACAACTCCGAGCGGTTGGCGTCGAACAGTAGCCGGGCCTTCTCCTGCGTGGTGGACTCTAACATCTCCCACAGCTGGTGGAGGGCGACCAGGCGTTCTCGCACCTCCGGCTCCAACTCGGGCTTGGAAGCGATTAGCTCCTGGCCCTCCTGCACATTTGAATTGGAGAACAAAGATTTATTCATATGTAGGAATGCCAGCTAGCTAAGCGGGAAACGTCTCGGCTAACAAAACACGACTCTTGCCTCATACATGTGGTGCTGGGGGGAGGTGATGAAGTATCTACTTAAAGGTAACTGGATCTGCATCAACATTTCTAATTGTCTTCATGCGCCCATATGTCAACCCTCTGCAAATGTGGGCGGAAATGTTTGTTTTTGTTTCATCACGCTAAATGACTTGCTAACCAGCAAACGGCTCATAAAACAACCTCTTGCCTCATGCTTTTTGTGCTGCGTGCCATTCATAAAAGTTAGCAACTTAAAAGTGTAAGTCAACTCTAAAACGCTTGTTACAATAACACTAACCATGGTATTCTGATTAATATTGCATTTGTGGAGTGTCTTGTCAAGCTAGCTGACTCGCTAACTAGCATTCGGAAAACAACACATCTCGCTTCATACTTTTGGTGCTTGGCGGAGGGTGAAAAGGTCGCCACTGGATCTCAAAAAGTTTCAAGATTTCTCTTCCTTTGCCCATGTGTCATCCCTTTACAAATTTGGGTGGAAAATTGTGTTTTCTAGCATCACACGAGGTGACTCACTGACAACACAAGTGATAAGCAGAACAATTTCCAGTCTCATTCTTGTGTTGGTTGGAGGAGCGAAGCTACATAAAGTCAACTGGATCTGCATTCAAAATTTCTTCCTTTGTTCCCCCACAACAAATTTTGTTGGAAATTTTGGGATTGGTTTTGTCAAGCTAGCCAACTTTCAAACCAGCTAACGGCTAAAAAAATGACCCCTTAACTCATACTTTTGGTTTTTGGTGGAATTATTACGGTAGCTTCATTTGGCAACTGGATTTGCATCCAAATTCGTTTAATTTCCTTCCTTAAATTATTATCATCACACAATTCTGACTCGCTAAACAACAAATGGCCACCAAAACTCTTGCTTGAGAGGAAAATAATCATCGTCACGATGGTGCAGCACAGTTGTACTTGGCCTCTGTCAATCAAAAGTCAGCTCCAGTTCTCGTACTGGCTCTCAAGGGGTACCTGGTCCACTTTGTCCAGCCAGTCCTTGTTGGAGGCCAACTCGGCCATGAAGGCCTGGTGCTTCAGCCACTTGCTGTGAAGGTTCCTGGCCTCATCGTAAGACGTGTCCTGAGCGGTCAGCATCTTCTCATTGATCCACACGGTCAGCTGGGATTGGAAGAGACATACTGGGGGTGAATGGACGCCGCCGCCGCCGCCGCCAACACAACGACAAAGAATGAGCTCTCACATCTTGAGTGTTCTGTAAGAAGTGCTGCAGGTCTCGGTTGTCTCGCAGCTTCTCCGACACCTCCTGGGCTCTCGCTTTGTTTTTGTCGTGCCTGAATGTGAAAACATATGACAGCAGCAACTTCTTTCATTCTTTTCCTGCAGAGAAAGGCTGTCAGAAAAAAAAAAAAAAAACATCTGCTACAGTAACGCAAAACGGCCATCAGGAGTGTATCCTCTCATTTTAAGTGAATCGATATCCATTAGCGCTGGAACCTGCCTGCTCAGATGCTTTGTGGGAGTTAATGGGGGGTGAGGGTGGGGGGGGGGGGTCCTGTGTGTGTGTGCGTGTGTGTGTGTGTGTCTGTGTCTGTGAGCTACACTGATCAAATTGGAATGTTTCTAAACGCCCAGTGAGCTTGTACAAAGCTGATTTTTAAAGGGGAAATATTCCTCAAGAGTCACACAACAAAATTCTTATTGAGCACAGAAAATGCAAAACTGGTATGTGTGAGCGTGTGTGTGTGTGTGTTTGTATGTGTATGTGCGGATGTTTTACTGGGCCTGGGAGCTTTAACCAACACCTCAGTCTCATAATTGGACTTTAGTTGGGCTGCCTCCCGACTCTGATTGGCTCTTAAGTCCCATTATCTCGCCATTTCAATCTGAAGATGTCCTGAGTAAACTACGCACCTGTCAGCGATGGACTCCATTTTGTCCTGCACTTTCCCCGCGTACAAGTTGCCGCCGTCCACCAGCTGTCTGCCCACCTGGAGAGCGCCATCAATCTTGTCTTCATTGGCCTCCATGGTGCTCAAAAAGTCCTCGTGTTTCTTCAAGGCCTGCTCCGCCCCGTCCAGAGTGTCGGGCTTGTCCACGTGGGCCAAGGTGTATTCCTTAAAAAAAAAAAAAAAAAAGACAGGAAAACAGCAAGTCTGGATTTGTATCACACAAGCGAGGTGTCTTCCTTCGCTTTGTTTCGTTCTGCTAACTCACTCACCTGGTTGTTGAGGATGGCCTCCACCGCCTTGCCGTCCCTGAGGAACTGTTGAAAGCCCAAGCACTGGTCCAGGAAGTTCTTGCGTCGTTCCCACATCTTCTGGAGCTCGTACCATCCTCGGTCCAGATCGCCGAGCGTCTGCTGCAGCTCCCGATACTGGGGGTCGTCTTCCTGGCCGAGCGTAACCTGTGTACCGGTATCCCGGATGATGCAGAAGTCCTCCCCGTGGTTGTCGATGTCGTCGCGCACGGCGTCGTGAAGGCTCAACTGCTCCTCGGCCTCGGGCAGCGAGGCGGGCATCTCCTCAGAGGCGACGGCCTTCTGGGCCCTGAAGAGCCACGACTGGAAGTCGTCCAGGTCCTGCAGGAACGTCTGCAGCTTGCTGACTTCGCCCAGTGAGTCCTCACGGTCCTTCAGGGTCTGTTTAAGATCATCCCAGGCCGCGTCCAACTGGGCACGTTGGGCCAACGTGCCCGCGGCGTTCTCCGGGTTCTCCGTCGCCAACCGGTCGGCGTCAGCCCTCAGGAGATCAAGCTTGGAGTCGATGGCAGCCAAGTCACGTTCCATGCCGTACAGCTTCCTCTGGATGGTCATGACGGCGGCCAGGTCGTTGCCCAGGTCCTGCGTGGACTCGATGACGCGCGTCTTGTCGCGGATCCACGCCGCTGTCTCGTCGCACTCCAGTCCGTAGTTGTTCAGGCTGACTGCAGAGTCCACCTTCCTCTTCTTGTCCTCGACCATGGCCTTGAAGGCATCCCACCTGAAAGAATTTTCCAGATATTGTGCTCCTTACAGACCACTAAAGATTTTACTTTTGAAATGGTTGTGCGTCACAATTTGCAACAGAGGAATTTAGCTCATTTTGCATGTGCAAAAGTCCACGCCCCCCTGGTCAAATGCCAAGACGTGTAATATGTTTTACGTGTATTTTTAAATTATTTCAAAAGGAAAAGACAGGGTTTTTTTTTTTTTTGTTTTGTCAACAGAAGGCATGCAGCATATGTCTTTAATCATTTGGAGCCCAGTGTCATTCTCTCATTGTTTTTTTTTTAAATCCGGAGCTAAAAACAAACAAAAAAAAAAATCACCTTGTATTGAGTCTCATCTGGCATTCCTTGACCTCTTTGGTGCGAGGGTGTCTGCTGTCTTCCAGCTGTTTCACCGCCTTGTTGACGTCATCCACTCGCGACTGAACGTTGGTCATATCCTGAGCCAGAATGCTCAACCTGGAGGCAACAAAAATGTGTTGAGAAAGACAAAAGACGACGATAAATTTGGATCCAGATAATGATCCATTCATGCGTCCGTTCATGGTGGTTCTCAAACTGGGACCCCCCCCCCACCCCCCTCCCGCCCTATTGTATTGTATTGTAGCTTTTCAAGTCCATTCATTATCTGTACCGCTTATCCTCACAAGGGTCACAACTTTATTCTCACAATGTTACCTATTTTCTATATTCCAATAAAACAAACAATATTTTTTCTTCTTGCAAACAAAAGGACTTTGGGAACAATACGTATTTTGTGGGTTCGGGTTAAGGCTGGATGTGAGACCGATGAGATCACAAATTCATATCAAAGCATTTGAATGACCCAAAGTATATTTTAAATAGCACTACATTTTAGTAGTTGCATTTAATACGTGTTATTTTGTGGAACCTCAAGTTTGAGAACCACTACAGCCCTGTAGTTTTATTCATTTGTTTTTTTTAACCGTGCCATAAATTATTCGCCCCCCCCCCCCAAAAAATATGCTGGTTTTCATGTTTAGGCCAAATGGACAACAGTTTTGATTTGGCGCAACATGGCGGCCTTCTGGTGCCAAGGAAACAACTTGAAGTGAATTGAGGGGCTTCATTTGGACGAAAGTAGGCCTATGGTGCCTTCCAGCAGCATCTCGGTGCCAAGGAATCAATTTGAAGTGAGTCGAGGGGCTGCATTTAGACAAAAGTACACCTTTGGGGCCATTTGGCGACATCTTGACGCCAAGAAAACAATTTAAAGTGAGTTGAGGGGTGTCATTTGGACATGAGTAGCCCTTTGACGCCATCTGGTGGCATCTTGCCCCAGATGGCGGCAACAATTTGAAGTGAGTTGAGAGGGTTTGGACAAAAGTAGACCTTTATGATGACACTGTGGCACCAAGGAAACATTGAATTGAGGTGAGGGGGCTTCATTTGGACAAAAGATCCAAAGTCTCGGGGTTACTCGCAGCACAGGTTCATCGCTACACCATCGATGCGCGTTTTGCAAATCGTGACCGGGTACCTGTTTTGGACCACTTCCAGGTCTTCCAGCTTGTCGGGCACCTCCAAATCCACGAGCCAAGTCTCCTTCTGGCCCATCCAGAGCTCGCAGGCATCTGTCTCGCTGAAGATGGTGTAGAGCGCCATGGCGTCATCCAGCTTCTTCTGCCTGACGTCGGCCAGAGACATGAGCTCCGTGAAGAGGTCCTTGATCTCTTTGAGGCGGCGTTGGATGTCGGGCGTGTTGAGCAGCTCCTCGGGCAGCGCGTTGGCCTGCTTGGACAGCGCGTCCACGGCGGCGGCCGTCTTGGCGGCCTCGTTGCGCAGGTCGTCGTGGCGCCGCAGGAGCCGCTGGGTGGTGTACTCGTCGTGGCCCGCGTCGTCGCTCCTCATCTGCCGATCGGCGTCCAGCAGCCAGGCCGTGAGTTCGTCGGCGTCCCCTTGGAACTGGAAGAACCGCCGCGTGTCCTGCAGGTTCTGTTTGCGGAAGGCCGCCAGATCCTCCAGCTGCCGCCACTGCGTCTCGACGCTGTCCGTGCGCTCTTGGATCATCGGTGCGCCGTAGTGGTTGTCCTTTATCATCTGACTGCCCTCGGTCAGAACCTGGCGCGGAAACGAGAGGTTTTTCTTCCTAAAAAGTATACTTACGATTCTTGTCAACACTGAAACGAGGCCAATAGCGGAACTCAAGGCAAAAAAAAATTCTTTGTCATCTGATAAGGAATATAGGCAGATGAATCCACCGTTTTTTTTAATTGAAATTTGACCTGCTGCAGATTGGCTCGGCGGGCGCCCAGCTCGTCCTCAAAGGCGCTGTGCTTGCTCTGGAGAACCAGCACGCTGGTCAGGTCCTTGCCGTAGTCCAGCGAAGAGAAGATGTTCTCCTTTTCCTTGATCCAGCTCTCCAGCTCCGCCGCCTCCCACAAGAAGCTCCAGAAGCGGCGAGACTGCGTCAGGTGGTCCCGGCGCTGGCCGGCCAGAGTCAGCAGCTCGTGGTAGCACAGCTCCAAATGCTCCACCCGATCTCGGATCACCTGGGGATCGCACGGCTTGTAACCTGGAAGAGGAGGAAGAGGGGACATTGATTTCTGGGAGTTTTTTTCAGACAAACCACACAGGAACGTGACAGATTGAGATTTACAGTCCATACTTTGGTTTTAAGGTGTCAGTTCGGTCAGGGAATAAAACGCTAAAACATAGAACTTCTTTTTTGCGTGAACGGGAAAACAAAAGGGACGACTTACTCTCTCCGTTGGCGAACTGGAGAGCAGCGGCGCTGGCGTTTTGGACCCGGTCGGCTTGCAGGGCGATGTCGTTCTCCAGCAAAGCGTGTTTCTGTAACAAGTCGTCCACTTCCAGCAGATGTTTGCCCATGTCGGGAGACAGCAGACGAACCTGACCAAAAAAAGGCACAAACAAATTCATCCGCTTCAGAGTCTTGTATCGATTGTTTTGACGCCGTGTCAGCAGTTACAGTGTTCCCTCACTGATCGCGGTTAATGGGGGCCGGGACCGAAAAAACCGCAATGGAGCTTTGCCTCCAGCCCCCCAAGAATTTTCGTGTCAATGTATGTAGGTAACAGCAAGTTTCAAACATGTAAACAGCATTTAAACTTTCTATATTTGAGACAAAGACTACCGCAGTACACTTATTTCCTGAAATCTTTCATTTTTAAAACCTTAGAGTCATTAAAATTCATCAGCATTGCCTTCTGAGAGAGACAAAAGAGACTTGTGTTCCTCTCACTTTACGTTCTGACAGTGTAGCCGCCGTTAGCTTGCAGCTAGCTGCTGGCTAGCTATCCCCGCGCAGCCGATGTGTTGTTTGTATGATAAGACAGTTAATCGGTATTGATGAGGAGGAGCCAAAGAGAGACGTGCCGCTTTGTTTTGGACAAGCCGACGAGACACTGATCAGAGAGTCAACGGCGTGACGAGACACATGAGATGCTGGGCGGGGCTGCGAAGCTGCGCAGCCAATCAGCTCACGGGATAAAGCCAGCGCCGGGAACCAATCATGCGTACAGATGCGCGATATAGCGAAGGTATCACTGTATACCTTCATGTCATCCATCCAGTTGATGATGTAGAGCATCTCCTGGAAGATCCACTGCAGCGTCAGGTTCTTGTCCAGACGCCCCCGACGGGCCTTAAGCAGTTCCTGCAGGTAGTCCCACAAGCGCAGGACGTTGTCCTTACGGGCGTCCACCCGCTTGGCGTCGTGGTAGCGTTCGGCCTCCAGCTCCCCGGAGATGTCCACCAGGGCCTGGACGCGCTCCTCGTAGGCGGCGATGTCCGTCTCGATGGCGTCGTGCTTCTTCTTCGCCGCCTCCACCGCCGGCAGGTCGTAGCCGAAGTTGTCCTGGAGAGACCGCGAAGCTTTGTGAACCGGCGATTCTCAGAGAGTGAACCTCGGTTTTCAGCAGTTCCAACATACGCATGAAAGAATTCTGACCCCTCCGTAGTGAGGTCGCGGTCACTAAACTTTCCTCCACTGAAAAATGTTGAGAACCCCCGAAATGATCCAAGCTGTGCGCTCTGGTTTACCTGAGCTACCAATCGCTGGTTCTCCAGAAGCCACGTCTCCCTCATGGCCGCTTTGCGGTCGAACCGTCTCGCCATTTGCTCCAGCTTCTCCTGGCGGATCAGCTCGTCCCTCAGGATCCGCTCACGCACGTGCTCGGCGCGCTCCAGTCGCTCCCAGGCCTGCGGATCCCCGCACCCACCAAAGATCACATGACGGTCACAGAAGAAGAAACGACAGAAACTAGTCTGGTCCAACTTTTTTCCCCCATGAATCTATTTCCTGTGTTTGACATTCATAATGATAAACGAATCAAGAAGTGAGCAAGGGTCGGTCGTCAAGATGAAATTCGTTTGCAGTTTAGTCCGTTTTAGTCGCGTTTAGTTCACTCCGGGCACAGCGAGCATTGGCCTCAGCCACGTTGCGGCGTGTGACGCCTCACCCTGTTGATGTCGGCCACCAGCGTGCCGTCTTTGGGTGTGTAGACTCTCTGGTTGTTGGCCCTCATGCGACTCTGAATGGTAAAGAGCAGCACCTCCAGGTTGCCCTTCTCCTGGAACCTGTTGGGACGCCATTGAGCTTTGAACCATCGACATGCCGCCTACTGAATGTACGATGTATTTAGGTCCATGTAGTCACACATATTTTTTGTTTTTTAGGTCCCAAAATAAGGACCTCTGGTCACCGTGTAGTACTTTTTCTCCTTTGTATTACGTTGATGGTATGCTATCGGGTCTAAAGACCTAAAGAGAACCAAGAGTCGTTTTTTTTAGGACCCTACAAAGAGGCGGCATCTTGGGAGAAATTGCAACGGTGTACCCTGGCCCCGAGGGAGAGCCAAAACTCACTTGGGCGGCTTCTCCACCGTCCTGTAGGTGTTGAAGGCCTGCAGCTGCTGCTGGACGCCCGACAGCGAGTTGGCCAGTTTGCGGTTGTTGAGCACCAGGATGGTCTGCTCGATCCAGGCCAGCAGCTCCGACGCCAAGGTCTCGTACTTATCCACCATCTTCTCCGTGGCGATGGCGTGGTCCAGGACTTTGCCCACCCGCTTGCCCTCCACGGCGAGCTGCTTCATCTTGGAGAAGTAGTGGTAGAAGGCCACCACGTACGTAATGATGGACTTTTCGTCCGGGTTCTCGGTGAACACGTCCTCCGGGTCCAAGAGCTTGGTGACGCCCAGCTGCTTCTCGGCCACGTTGAAGGCGCTCTGGAGGTTGTGCGTCGGGTTGGACCTCTTCAGCTGGTTGAAGTCCACCAGATCCGGTCTGGATGGGTAAGGACAATGCGGTTTGGTTTTTCAAAGGAACAAAGACATAAAAAATAAAAAAATTCCCAGCTTGTCTTACCGATGTTTGTGTATGAGAGCGTTGAAGGCCATGCCGTCTTTCCAACTGGTGGTGAAGTTTGTGATGTTCACGCTGGAATAACTGTGAAAAAGAGACGAATTGAAAAAGATCCGCATTCTTCTGGTTGACTCGAATGGAGAAAACCAAACCGGTTTCCCGCTGATGTGAATGCTAAGCTAGGTTACGCTAGCGACTGACCCCGCCGTCTTCATCTGGCACCACAGAAGAAGAGCGTCCTTGGCCGAGCGCGTCTCCTTCTGGTCGGCTTGGCCCGTCTCCACAATGATGTCTTGGATCTGATTGGGATGACAATCAATAGAGAACGTGACTCAAGACGCAAAACTGAGCGCATTGTCGAACATAACAGGAAAAAAGAAAATACACCAACGTGTGATCATTGTTGAATTTCCGCAGCGCGGAGGCCAGTAATTGGAGCGGTCGCATGACCAACAAATCCTTCGAGGCGGCTAAATTTAGCTCTCAGAAACGAAAACGTCAAAAAGGCTGACTTTTTTTTTTCCCCATCTTTTCACCAAGGACTGAATAATGCAGAGGGCCATATTGTTTGAACTAAAAATAACAGTGTCAAATTAAAAATAAATCCCCCCCTTCAGAGAAAGCAAGAGACGTGTTCTGATGTTTGCCGCTCGCCAACAGCAGCTCGTAACAGCAGCAATAATCAAGAGGAAAAAAACAAAATAGGAGCAGCCATGAATTGGCAGTCGAACCCCGGTTTTCATGATGAATCCTTCAAAATTTGACGTCGTGCTCAAATAGTACAGGTTGGTCAAAGCCCTGGGGCTGCGCCCAAATGGCTGCTTCAAACCAAAATGGCTCCCATTCAATGTCGGGTATGGATCCTTGAGACTTTTGTCCAACGAATGTCATGTTTCTTGGTGATCACCAAAATGATCATCAAGCATCAACGCCACACGCCGTTGACACTATATGGCAAGAGCAAAAACGCTTGGCACTTTAGCATTGCATGTCCGTGTAGAAAACCTGCTCCTCCTACCTGAGGCTCGTTTGGGCAAATCCTTCAAGTACCCCCAAAATTGCTTCCCTGACAAAAAAAAATATATACAGTATATATTTATGGTGGTCCAACCTGGAAGCGAAGGATGATCGTCCAGATGAGGCCGAGGATGAGGCGGTGGTTGCCGTCGACAATGTCATGCGAGCCCATATTCTCCAGGTGGACGCGCTGCTCCTTGAGGAACTGCAGTGCCTTGTCCACATTCTCCAGACAGTGGATGCGCATCCTGCCCTTGGTGGGCTTGGGCTAAGAGGGGGACATTTTATTGGAAAAGTCATAGAGGGTCGGAAATGTCAAGAAAATGGTTGTCATAGAGGTAATGTTTTCCAAAAATATAAATTATATATATTTTTTTCAAATCTTACCAATCGTTCTCCAGACAAGACCTCCAGAAGTCTAATGAGCATGCGTCCATCACGCAGGTCCAAGTAGAGGTCGGAGATGCGACAGCTGACCCGAGACAGGATGGAGTTGACCCATTTGGTGAACGTCTTCTTCTGGACCGCCTCGCGCTCATCTGAAGTTTTGGCCAAAAATACATTTTTGTCTTTTTAGAAAGAAATAACTTTTAGAATATGGTGCAATTTTATGGAAAATGTTATCCTTTTGTGAAAAGTTCACGAAAATCAAGTTGGAATACCGCATTACAAGTTTTTTTGGGGTTTTTTGTTTGTTTTTTTTTGCAGGTACAGAGATTTGATGAAGAAAAAAAGTCTCGATTTTATCAGTCATAATTTCACAAGAAAAAGTCACACTATTAAGATTTTTTTTTCCAAAAAATAAAGTCAGTACATTACATAAATAAGTTATTAGGGTAATATTTTTTTACAAAAATTAAATATTCACGATGATGAGAAAATGCACAATTTATGTGAAAAACAAATTCTACTTATGTATTTTTTTTTCAAATAAAAATTTGTCCTTTAAGACGGTTAAAAAAAAAGCGTTTACATTGTATTTAAAAAAATAAAATGTAACCATATTTAACAGTCAAAGTACAATTTTTTATTTTGAAAAAAAAATATGATCATTTCATGAGAATAGACGGCCATTTTCTTTGTTGATGTGTGCATGCGAGGCGGAAAGCAAGCTGCTTGAACCTCTCTGCAGACGAGCCCTTAAATCAATCATGAGGATCCAATTTGCTGTGTGATTTCATTCCCTCGTCATCAAGCGATGTCTGCTCTGCTTGTTTAAAAGGCCAAGTCAGCGAGTGGGCCTAATGCATGTTTGTTTGCCCACGTTGGCAAATTCAGCCGCCATTTAGCGTACACTTAGCAGCACGCCGCTATGTCGTTTAGGGTTGTGCTGCTGTTTGGAGAATCCAAAGTTTTTAACGACGCTATTCTCATGAAACGCTGACGTCCGTTTGCCGAGATGCGCGGCGGGTCGGCGGCCGGCTTGCGTGGGTGTAATCAGCGTGACAGTTTCACGGTCTACTTTTCATGCATGCGGCGAGCAGCAAGCAGGCATCATTAATTTAGTAGCAGACGCTACTTATTGTGTCTTCACCGTTGTCTCGTCAAGTCAAGTCGATGCATTTTGTTCTCTTGTCATTTTGCTTTTAGTATTATGATAAAAAAAAAAAAAAACAACAACAAAAAAAACTTATGTCACCAAAAAACAGTTGGGTCAATAATAAGCCAACTGGGGTCAAAAAGGAGCAAAGCAACCCCATTTTCAGGATTTTATTGTACAAAATGACCCTTTTTCAAAAAAGAACAAAATGTTTTAAACTGGGAACAAGGTTCTAATTGCTCATTAGAAAATAAGTTGTATTTTTCATCCAAAAAAAAAAGCCATAAAATTTCAAGGTAAAAAAGTTTTTGAGGATCAAGTCGAAAGAAACAAAAAAAACTTATTTTCACTCAAAAAACAGTTGGGTCAATAATAAGCCAATTGGGCTCAAAAAGGAGCAAAGCAACCCCATTTCCAGGATTTTATTGTACAAAATGACCCTTTTTCAAAAAAGAACAAAATGTTTTAAACTGGGAACAAGGTTCTAATTGCTCATTAGAAAATAAGTTGTATTTTTCATCCAAAAAAAAAAGCCATAAAATTTCAAGGTAAAAAAGTTTTTGAGGATCAAGTCGAAACAAGACCAAAAAAAAAAATCTTTGCAGTGTGTTCTGAGAACACAGTTGTAACACAACAGGAAACAAATTCCATTTTTTTTCCAAGAAAAAGGGTGGAAATGTACGAGAAAAAAAAAAAGTTATATTATACTAAGCAGATGAAATATCACCACCAAAAAAAAAAGCATAAAACAACCTTCACAAGGCTCGACAAGTAGCAATTGCATTGGCAGGGTTTTAGTTGATCTGTTTATTAAATTGTGGATCTTAGCGCATCGTAGTCGTCGGTAAAATAAACACGGCTTGGCGCTAGAGGTCCCTTTGAATCAAAATAACACCAAGCGGCGCTCAATTATTTACGTTATGGCTTTGAAAAAGTTATATCAGACTACGCAGATGAAATATCACCACCAAAAAAAAGCATAAAACAACCTTCACAAGGCTCGAAGAGGAGCAATTGCATTGGCAGGGTTTTAGTTGATCTGTTTATTAAATTGTGGATCTTAGCGCATCGTAGTCGTCGGTAAAATAAACACGGCTTGGCGCTAGAGGTCCCTTTGAATCAAAATAACACCAAGCGGCGCTCAATTATTTACGTTATGGCTTTAAAAGTAGGCAACATAGCATGACGTTAGATTTAACAGCATTCATCGAATTGTCCTTGTCTGGGCTGAATCACCATCATCATCATCCCAGCTGACTCCGCCCCCTTGCTGTCTTTTTTGGGGACGGCGGTGGGTGTATCAGTCCAAGATTGACTAAACAGCGGTGTGTTTGACAAGCCTTTACTTAAGTCCTCGATCATGCACTCCAGTTGAAGGCCACACATGACTTATTCATGCAGATGGATTTTCCCTGTACTCGACTGTACCGCGTTGTAATCGGCTGTGCGCGGCCGTGTTGCGCGTACGCCGCCTCGCTACCTCATTTTCCCTCCGGCTCAGCGCTTCTTGCTGGACTGAGGAAAATCTTTTGTGCAAAAATAAATAAATAAAATAAAAACACGACTAATTCCCAGGTCGAGTCACGACACCAGCCGTCGACTGCCTGACATCGGGGTTTGCGCATATTAAAATTTGGGTGTAATTCCAATGTCAACCACCAGATGGCACTTTTTGTAAGAAACGGTGTAAATTTGAAAGAAGAGCGAAAATGAAAATATTCCAAGCCGCCTGGTCTTTGCTGAAGATTGAATGTCAAATCATCTTCAATCCTACTTTTTACGCCCACAAAAAAAAAACAAAGGCTGTACGTTCATTTGATAGCGTTTGAGCATCAACTATTGAGAGGTCTTACAACTTCCGCACTTTGTGGGAGCCTCACAGCATGATGTCTCCTCAACACTGAACGTTGCACAACAACTAAGAAATCCTCGACAGAACCGATGAATAGCCGGGACGCTTCGGTGCAGAAGAACCACCGTCAGCAACGAAGGTAAATTGATGTTGGCCTTGACAGACCAGTTAGCGCATCGTTTTTTTTTTTTTTGTGATTGTATTGCGTCAGTCATAGCTCTTCGGCTCTTGAAAGAGTTTCAAGTCGGTTGGGGAAGATGACACAAGCACAGTCGTTAGCTTTGGTTAAATATTAAAACTCCGGCTCGTCGGGGAGCCGAGTGCAACCGCAGATTTTGATGAAGGCTGCCGGCGGTCGCCATGTCGGCGTCTGTACGCTTCTAACTAATGACAGCCAAAGATTTTTTTTAGTCAATTCAATGTTGGTGGATGGCGAAAGAAGGTAAAATACCAGCGTTAGCATTAGGGGGTTTTGGTAACTTAAGCTACATGGCTTTTTTTCGGGGGGTGGTGGGACCCTCACCCGAAATCCCAACTATAACCATCACCCGGAAAAAAAAAAAAAAATTTAAGGGCCAGGGAGAAAGAAAAGCCAAATAAGCTCAAATGCAAATTATGGCCCTGGAAGTGGGGAAGGGGGGAAAAAAAACCTTTTTAGAAGTTGCTACGATGAATTATTGAAGCCAGTGAACAAGTGGGGCAAAGCCACAGCGCCCTTCGGATAAATAAATTACTACCTAATACCGGAGGTGGCAAAAGTACTCACACTTTAAGTAGAAGTACAGATACTTCTCTGGTCAAGGTAGAAGTACTCATCAAGTCTTTTACTTCAAAAATCAGCAAAACTTAGGAAGCGTTCAAAAATGTACTGAAGTACAGTAATGTCATAAAAAATACTTTGTGACTGTACTTAATTGTGGTGAAGTACAAATATTTTTCTTACGTTTTATTTTTCTGACAACTTTTTACACGGAAACCAAAAATCAGTCAAAAGTTTCTGCCGTCTATTTTTTAATTCTTAAAGGCCCTTTAAAGTGATTTCCGTAATACGTTTCAAAATATATCAAACATTTGCAAAGACTAAGAACACTTTAGTACTGAATTGTTGAGATATAGCTTTTATCATTATCTGGATTTTTTTTCACTTTTCTTCTCTTTTCACTACAACGAAGTAGAGTAATCCCCCCCTCTATCACAGGTTTCATTTTTGGGTGGGGGGGAAAGTGTAGATTTTGGGTGTAATTCCAATGTCAACCACCAGATGGCACTTTTTTGTATGAAACGGTGTAAATTTGAAAGAAGAGTGAAAATGAAAATATTCCAAGCCGCCTGGTTTTTGCTGAAGATTGTTGAATGTCAACTCATCTTCAATCCTACTTTTTACGCCCACAAAAAACAAAGGCTCTATGTTCATTTGATAATGTTTGAGCATCCGTACTTGACTCTTAAGTTTACTCGCTACTCCCCTCACTGGCTATAACATGCAAAGAGGAAGGGTGGAACCCCCTGGTCGGGTGCGAGGGAGGGGAGGGTGGGGGGGGGGCACCCAAGCCACCCCTGGCACCTCGCGATACCTTGCAGTTGCCTGAAGCGTCCATCCAGGATAGAGTTGAAGTAGATGTTGGATGCGCTGGAGCTGAGCCAGCGCGCCCGTTTCATGCTCCGGCCGGACAGGGAGGACGACGAGGACGAGGAGGGGGACGGGTGGACGGGGCGCTGACAGGAGCTGGGCGGCAAGGAGACGGGGGTCAGCCCCGGGAGGGTGAGCGGCACTTGCAGGAGGACGGTGCCGTTCCTCTCCGGGTGATGCTCCTGCTGCCGCCTGGCCCGGCCCCTGGGGGCCCTCCTGAGGGCCCGGTGCGCAGGCGGAGTGCTCCGGCTGCGCACGGGGGCGTCGCTCTCCTCCGGCGGGTTGCGGCGGCCGCTCGCATCCTTGCCGTCCTGGATCTTGGAGGCGGCTTTCAGGCTGATCCTCACATCCCGGAGTCGGGGCTGGCTGATGGGGGCCGGCCGCAGCAGGCACGGGCTGCTCATCTTTGCCCCGACCGCCCGCCGAGAAACTCTGAACCAGAGGAGCGGGACTCCACGTCTCGGCTCTCCTCCGCCTTCTGGCTTTCTGTCCTCTTTTCCTCGTGCCGACTCCTCCCTCCCTCCCTCCTCTTCCTCCTCTTCCTCATCTTCGCCACTTGTGTGATGATGCCGCCGCTCTCAGGCGGCACCTGACTTCCTCTTCTAGCCTGGATCTCTCATTCGCATTTGCTGCCTTGGTCTCCTTATATTCAGCGAAGCTCGCCCATTCCTGATGTATCATTCACAACTACAGAGGATGTGTGTGTGTGTGTGTGTGTGTGTGTGTGTGTGTGTGTGTGTGTGTGTGTGTGTGTGTGTGTGTATCTATTTTATTTTTTGTCCAAGAATGATTATTTTGTCAAGTTAGATCTCTTTCTAAAAAAAATCTCCTGTCCAAATAAAAGTAAATGTAATTCAATGTTATTTTTGTACTATTTCATTTTTTTTCCCTTTTTGACACGAAAACATTTTTTTTTTTTTGCAAAAGAAATGGCTTTATCCTTGTTATAAAACCTTGTTGAAAACAATAAAGTGATTATGACTGTCTTGGAAAAATACAACTTTGTTTTTACAAACACTTTGTTCCCCCTTATAAGTGTCTTCTTTTAACTGGCCTCTAGGTACAGTCGCAAAGTCAAAATCTTCCGATCTCAACTCTTTTTTCCCCACCTATCCGTCCTTTGCCATGCCGGAAACGCGTCTATTTTTAAAAAGCCAGCTTAAGGCGTAAAATTCCAAAGAGCTGTGAGCTGGCGAGCCCACAGCTGTGCGCATCCATCAAGATGGGAATCATTCCAGGAATGCGGGTGGCAGAGGTGGGGCGCTCGAGTCAGGTGACTTCACTAGAGTCCGACTTCAATCGCCAATTGTACGACTTGGGGCTGTGCTTGACTAAAACGTGAAGACTTGAAGTACAGAGACTGACTCTCCTTTAGTCTTCAACCCAATCTGCTGGGTCACGCTAATTAACCCAACCTTGTGTAATCATGACCCAATCTGCTCCAAATCCGCCGCTACCCAATGAGCGGATTTCGGAAAACAAACCCGCATTTTTTTTTTTTTTGCGGGGTCAAATTATATGTTGTGACGAAGCAAGATCGGATGGCTAGACGTGCATACGCACCTGCGAGGGCTTTGATCCGCGACCGCTCAAAGAGCCGTGCCGTGCTGTTGTCGTTGTCCAGATCCTCGTCGGGGAGCTCGAAGCGTGTGTTGACGCGGCTGTATTGCTGCGTGATCTCCACATTGTCAAAGTCGGTGGTGGAAGTCATGGCGGAGGTATTCGTGGATGGCAAGAGGGGGGATGGTTTACGATGGGGCCGGACGTCACGGCGTCCTCAAAAGGTCCTCTCGTTCAAAAGGTTCCACAAAAAAAAAAAAAATGGAGGAAAATGTAGCTGCTATTCCTGGTAGTTATCTGGAATAGAGGAAAATTGCACATTGATGACTATTTTTGGAGCCTGGGGAGGAAGAAAAAAGTAGAATTAAAAAAATGCTCGTATGTGGCCATGAATTAGGTATAATGTGTACACAAATGCTGTATTTGGCACAAAATCCCAAATTATGGATGCAAAATGCTAATTTGTGTCCGTGAATTCGTGATCATGTGCACATAAAATACCAATTTTCGCCCGCAAAATTGGAAGATGTCAAAGGCAATGGTGTGATAAAACCGTGACAAAAATACATCCCAATTTCCAGAGGAAAAAAAAAAAAGTGGCAATATTGAATTTTTTGCAAAACAGAATTTTGTTTTTTTTTTTACCATAAAAAAAGTCAACCTCCAACAAATTCTGTCAAAAATTCAACAGCTTAAATTCACGTCCAAATTTAGACGGCACAACAATACCACAAACCGGAGCTCAACCTTCTGAGATTGAGATTTTGATTTTCTCGCTTTTTTTTTTTTTTTAACCCATCAAATGTCTGAACACGGATTTATTTAACCAACGGAAACTTTTGTGTCAAAAATAAAGCTCAGATGGCAGCAGGGATGGGCTCGGGGGGTGCAATTGCACCTGTTAAAAATCCATGGAGCTCCGGTTAAGCCCCTACAGCATTTTATGTGATCTTCTAAAAAATATATATTTAGTAATTATCTTCTCAGACCCTCCTCTGTTGGCACAGAAAGACTGACTTTGAATTTTTTAGGCTCATTTTTGACCATCAAATTTCCAACACCAATTTAAAAAACAATCCTAAGTCTTAAATTCAACCTGGTGGGATATAGGAAGGACTCGGTGGGCGCCTTGTTAGAAACGGTTGAGTTGTTGGAAAAGGGTGGCGACAAAAGACGTACTCTCGCAGCTCCATTTTGTCAATTTGACCTCGCCCCCCTCCCCGCTGACAGGGTGTTCATTCTTAGCACGGAATGGCGGTTTATCAGCCTACGGCATGGCTCCCTTATCACGTGTGTGTGCGCGCGTGTGTGTTAAGGGGAGTGGTGGAGTCACACAAAGTGACACCACCACGAATGATGTCGTCCGACCGTCATCGGCATGCAACACAAAATGTGAAGCCGAGGAGAATTTTGGACACATCAAGCCATCGCTGATTAGAATTGATCACTCTTAATTGGCAGCGTGTGTGGAAGCTAACCATCAGCTCTCTGCTCGCCTTAAGGTACATTTGCGATACATGTACAGAAGACACAAAATAAAAATAAGTGTATATCACTGGGACAAGTTTGTGATAAAATGATGATTAGGAAAGTAGTAATTGGTAAGTTACTAAGCGGATTTTTCTCTGGATCAAGTTACCTGTATCTGTAAACAGAGGTTAATGGCAAGATATTGACTGGTTCCTTTCTTATTAGAATTTATGAACAGTTTTTTTTCTTTTTTTTTTTTAATATCCCCCCCCCCCCACACACACACACACACACAGATGATGTTTCAATGACGCGTCTTTCAGGTTTCCCTCGGTTTACTGCTCGCTATCACAAGTTCACAGAGGGCCCTTATCAAGCACGGAGGTGGCGGAGGTCAGGGGGCGGGGCTTATCGGCTCCAGACACACCCGCGCCGCGCGCGCACACACACACACACACACACACTGGAGGTGGCGGAGGTCAGGGGGGCGGGGCTTATCGGCTCCATACACACCCGCGCCGCGCGCACACACACACACACGCTCAGAACTGGACCAACGGCCCGCAACTGTCCACCTGCTCGCCCTCCCCTCTATGACACTTGTTTGAACCGTCTGTTTTTATGTGTGTGGTTAAGGTGAAAGAAAACAAGATAAAACAAAAAAAACAATGCCAGACTGCCCACATTGAGTGATTATCTGCAGCTATGTTTCCAGTGTTCCATCATGCGATGAGGCAACGGCCACAAAAACACCTTCATGAGCGTTCTAGCCGCAACTGTGCAGCAGAGGATGAAATAAGAGACGAGGGGGGGGTGAGGCCGACAACATGTGCGACGTGCAGTTCGCATTCTGCGACTCCCAACTTCAGCAACTGGACCGAGGAAGAGGAGAAAGAGGAAGAGCAGGGTGGCAGTTGACCATCCAGACACAACAAAACATTGAGCCCGCATCTTGGACACAGTCGTAGCTTCGAACGCAACCTCGGAGGCCTTGCTTTAAGGAATAAGTCCAAAACTATTCTTGGGGTGTGTTTACGTTATAAAGTCCTGGCTGGTCCACACAAGCGTGTCCTTTTAAGGGGAATAAAGAAGGAACTTGAGCATTTCTTGGCTCTGTTTTGAAGTCATGTGTTTTGGATAGATTAAAAAAAAAATAGCACTTATAAACAATACAAACCAGTGGCTGATTTTCAGGTTAATGTGAGTTCATTATAAGCTTAACATGACTTATTTGAATACATTCATCTCAATAAAGAGTATTTCTTGGCTCACTCTGGTTCGGATTTCGATATCAAAAGTATCCTTTATGACCCCCCCTCCATCCTTCGGTACACTTTCTAGAATTCATTTTAAACTCTAAAATAGTTGCTTGTATCCATGACACTCAAATTTGAGGACTCGGAAAGACCGTGTTGTGGAATTTAAAACAGTGTTTAATAATAATAGTCCCCCCCCCCCCATACTTTCTTTGGATAAAAAAGCAGTTCTAAATTCGCTTTAAGATTCTTACCAGTTGTTTATACTCACACTTGACACCCTTTCGTCGACCAGAACGGACCAGTTTGGACCTCGACAACATGAGCAACAAGCCTAAAACGACTTTGTGAGACGTTTTAGGCGAAGACACTTTGGTGTACGAGGTCGCGTTGTCCTTTTACGCGCTCGTCACCGTGCGTAAAGTCACTCGTGAGCACAACTGCGGGCCACATGACGCCAATTCAACGTCAAAAAATCACTCAAACGGTGTTTCTTTCAACAATCCAAGTCGGACAAGTCTTGAGTAGAGATAATGTGGAAAGTGTCTGACGTCACAACAGGTGTTTTTTTTTTTTTTTTTTTGTGGAACCCCAAAGACAGCAACGCGACTGAAACCCCGAGCAAACTTTTGACGTTTTTGATTTGACACTCACTTTGTTTCGTGGAATTCTTCCAAGTGGCGTTTCTTGTCCCTGCCGGCCGTCACATTAAGGTCCCATGGACGCATCGGGGTGGTTGATCCTGCCTGGAGGGGACCAGGAAAGAGAGGATATAAAAAAGAAAAGAGGGAGGGTAGTGGGGCACTGCGCTCCACGCTCATTCCCGAGAGGCAGCCGGCCCACTGACCCGCCCTGTGGGGTTAAAAATAACGAGTGGGTGAATCCAGTGGAGGGTTACGAGTGGAGGGAAGATACATTCCCGACACGGGGCTGCAACAACCCAAGTGGCACGTCTTGAGCTGCTGAGTGCGGGTTCCGATCCAACATCATAAACACACCCACCGGAAAGAAAAAAATATGAGCGTAACTGCACTATATCGCGAGACACAATCTAATTTCAAAAAATAAGCGACATAATAGATGACGCCATTCAAAGCTAGGACTCAGAGTAGTCAAATTAATCAATGAGAATTACGCAATACAGTTAATCTTAACATGTATAAATCAGCACAAGGCGCCCGGTGAACCAGTGGTTAGTGCATCGACCTCACAAGTGCAGAGGTATCAGGTTCGATTGCAGCTCCAGCCCTCCTGTGTGGAGTTTGCATGTTCTCCTCCCGTGCCTGCTTGGGTTTTCTCCGGGTACTGCGGTCTCTTCCCACATTCCAAAAACATGCCTGGCAAGCTGATTGAACACTCTAAAAATTGTCCCTTGGTGTGAGTGTTTGTCTCTGTGTGCCCTGCAATTGGCTGGCAACCGGTTCATGGTGTCCCCCGCCTACTGCCCGAAGACGGTTGGGATTGGCTCCAGCACGCCCCGCGACCCTTGTGACGATAAAGCGGATCAGAAAATGGATGGATGGATGGAAATGCTCCCATGTGAATTTCAAGATCCTCGCCACCGGAAAGAAAAAAATATGAGCGTAACTGCACTATATCGCGAGACACAATCTAATTTCAAAAAATAAGCGACGTTATGACATTGTTATAGATGTAGATGACGCCATTCAAAGCTAGGACTCAGGGTAGTCAAATTAATCAAGGAGAATAACGCAATACATTTAATATTAACATGTATAAATCAGCTCAAGGCGCCCGATGAACCAGTGGTTAGCGCGTCGACCTCACAATGCAGAGGTATCAGGTTCGATTCCAGCTCCAGCCCTCCTGTGTGGAGTTTGCATGTTCTCCTCCCGTGCCTGCTTGGGTTTTCTCCGGGTACTGCGGTCTCTTCCCACATTCCAAAAACATGCCTGGCAAGCTGATTGAACACTCTAAAAATTGTCCCTTGGTGTGAGTGTAAGCTCGGATGGTTGTTTGTCTACGTGTGCCCTGCGATTGGCTGGCAACCGGTTCAGGGTGTCCCCTGCCTCCTGCCCAAAGACAGCTGGGTGGGGTAGGCTCCAGCACGCCCCGCGCCCCTTGTGAGGATAAGCGGATCGGAAAATGGATGGATGGAACTCAGCTCTAAAAAAAATTAAAATTAAAAAAAGACGTAAAAATTCAAAAAATTTTTTTTTTAATCATATATGATCAAACGACATCTTTGGTAATAGTATAAAAACAGCAAAAACTGCAATGTTTATAGATAATATATATAAAAACAATTTTAACATTTACAATTTTAAACATAAATAAGTTTCAACACCACGAGAAAAAGAAAAATTTATAGCAACAATATAAAAAATAAACGGTATGGAAAAAAAGTGTGTTCCTTCATTGTGCCTTGATTTTTGTTGGTGTCTTTGGTTTTTCATAGAACTTGCATAGCTTAAAAAAAAAAAAGCTTGCTTTTCCGTCATTTTTTTTCTTTACGAAACAATGAAAATAGAACCTGTCTGTTCCAGGGTTAGCATCACACATTATTTTTTTGCCCCGTAGAAAATAATTTAAATAGTCAAAATAGTAAAGCAGCTACCCTGAACCCCCCGCACCCACCACCCCCAGCACCACTTTGTATCAATGGAAATACAAATCGTTTCTTCCAGGCTCAAACTGTCACCAACAAGATTACCACAATATCCAGTATCTTTGGTAAATTAGCATTGTGATTGTAGAAAGCAAACAAACAAACAAACAAACAAACCCAACCTTCATATGTATAAAAATAAAACTGCGCGTAAAGAAATAGCGCTCTAGTGTAGAAAAATAAAAAAATAAAAACTCAATTAAATAATTAAAAAATGTCAGGTGCAAAAATGAAGTGCTGGAATGCCTCTGATGCGAGGCGCGGACAGCCGATCACGTGTTCACTGCGTCGATGAGGTCTGCCAAGATGGCCGCTTGCCTCCTGGCCACCGCGCCCGCGAGCTGCGGCGGGAAAGACGATGTGCCCAAGTCCACCTGAGACCACAAGACCCCGGAAAACGTAAACACACAATGATTGTTTTGTTCGGGAAGCCAAGACATGACAAGACATGACGTAGGTTTGTAATTGAACTTCATTTTCTCTCCCAAATGTCCAAGAATATGATTCATATTTGTATTTTGCATGCACATTATACTCATTTCAGAGTCACAAAATGATCATTTGCAGCCAAAATTGCAGTAACCCCCCACATCCGCAGGTCATGTCATGTTGCGTTGATTTGACAAAGTCAACATGAGTGACGGTGGTGATGCAGCGGTCCAAACCTGCAGCAGGTAGACTACCCGGGTGGCCTCCTGTCTGCTCCCGCATCTGATTGGCTGCAGGAGCCAGCAGCTGGGCATCATCTCGCCTCGGACAGCGCTGGGGCTGGGACGTGGGAGGGACTCGTCCGATACCGACTGCATGGCCAGCACGTTGACATCGCCCTGAGGTTACAAATGTCATTTCCCTTTTTTTTTAAATTTTCAATTTGAAGCTTCACTTCAGATGCGCAGTTTAAAGTGAAGAGAATAAAACCCAAGGTTTGATGGTTCCGTATAACAATACCATTATAAATGAGGACAGCAAAAATTTTTGGGGCACGGCGGTGCACTAACCTGTTTGGACTCAGCGCTGATGCAGCAAAAGTCTCGCGGCTGGCTGAGGTGGCAGCAGGTGGACACGTCTGTCAAAAGGTAGACTGGACATGCACTCCCAATTAGGTTGATTTTGATCACCCCCCCTCCACCCTCCCACCCCGCAAAAAAATTGTCTGTTCCAAAGTCAAAAAAATAAAAAAATAAAAAAAGGCATCAAGATTTTGGTTTTCCTCATAGGACATGATGTGAAGTATCTGACCTAGGTGAGTGCTGCCATCTAGAGGGCGACTCCACGCGGTGCGCACGGACGGGTGGTAGTCCTGAGCGTTGCGGGGCTGGCGAAGGACAGTCCACAGGCGCTTCGGGGTTCCGTCCAGCTCCACCGCCCCCAGGAAGGCGTGCACCGACGGGCTCGACGATGCCCTGTAGTAAGCCTGGATGCCTCGCTCTTCTCCCTGGTGTCTGTATCAATAAATCAATCAAGATGTGCCCAAATAAAAATGGACTAAATTGAGGGGGGTCACCTCCAGCCAACAGAAGCTTTCCCCTTCACGAGGTTGCTCAAATCACCGCAGGAAGCCAGTCGGACCTTTGGATTAAAAGGAGCAAATAAATTATAATCCAAAGGAAATTCTCTAAAAATATATGAAAAAAAATATCATCCAAAATACAAAAAAAACCCCCCAAAAAATCTAAAAAATATATAACTTACCCACTTCGAAATCTAACTTTTAAAATTTACCGCTATTTATCGAGAAAAGACAACTTTTTATCTCAAATATATTTCCAACCTTCCAAAATAGGCATTTTCATTTTGAAGACGTGACTTTTTATCGAAGAAAAATTCCACAGAGGGAATTTTAGATTTTAAAAGTTTTTAAAGATAAATTCTGCTTTTTCTTAAAAAAAAATAAAAAATCAACAACAAAAAAATCCCCCAACACATTTTCTCCCTCAAAATAATATGACTGTATTCATGTAGGATTATGCCTTTTTCTTTTCGAGCCCAAAATAATTTTTTTTGTCCTCAAAAAATATCCACTTGTTTATACAGAGATAAAGGAACTTTTAGTCTGAAAAATATATAACCCCCCAATATAGTCAATTTTCAGGAAAAGAGTTGTACAGGTATATTTTGTGAGATACCTCAGCCAGAGCTCGGCCCAGCAGCGTTGCCGTGATGTCCTGATAGCCGGTGGAAGTGGAGGAGGAGCAGGAGGAGCCAAAAGAGGCGGCGCGATGTCGAGTACAAGACGGTGGAGATGATGATGACGTGGTCATCAAGGGATCAACACGGACGTCTAATTAAGAAAATTGACACATTCATGCCCGTTTGTTCTGCGCAAGTATTAGCTCTATGCTATATTAAACCGTGCTGTTGTCTAACTGTGACTTACCCTGAGCAGAAATGGAGATTCGTGAGGCAACTTTCTCACCCTTCTCCAGAAATGTGGTGGTCTAAAAAAGACAAAAAGTAGCCAAAGTTTTGATCAAATCATCAGAAATGTGGGTTTTTAAAAATAAATATCGTACTTCATTCTCGTACGGTTCCAAAATCTTGAAAACACGACTTTTTATCCAGCAGATATACAACTTAATTCTTGAAAAAAAAGTTTTCGGGGAAGATTGAGACTTTTAAATGTAAAAATGAAAGACTAGTAATTATGAAAACCCCGCCCCTACCCCCACCCATCCATCCACTTTATGGTGAAAAGCCCCACTTATATTACACTGGAGGCCTATTTGCATGGTGTCTGGCATGTCCTACATGCGTCATTGTTTTTCACCCACATGTCCAGGAGGTAGTCTGTGGCCGTGTTGCAGTTGCAGAGCGTTGCCACTGTTGTACCCTGACGTGGGTCCAGATGACAGGCTCAGGCTGGATCCGGTGCACAAGGTGCTGTTGCTGATCCTGGTTCCATGCCTCAGGTCATCCTGGGGAAAAATAAAATAAATAAATGGTTCCATCTCTATCACTATCTTAAATGTATCCAAAATGTACAAAGTAAGATTGAAGAACAGGGTCTCCAGCCACACAAGATATACTGTACCTTGGACTCTGGAGATAAAGCCTGCTGTTGAATCCGTCTCTTCTCCTGTTCGGTCCTTTCACGCAGTCGCTCCCTCGCCTTGGCGATCTCACTCATGGCTTCCTGCCGAGCGCGGCCATATTCGCGCAGCAGCTGCTCAATGTCCGACGGGTACGTGCTACCGCCGCTCGCCGGGTCTCGTACTCTGCCGATAAGTGGTAAGCTCAGGTCAACGAAATGCACGTTTAAGATCAGATACGACGTTGACATTGTACCGGCCGTTCGTTGGCTTCAGCTGTCGGTCGGGAGTGGCTGGAGGACTTCCGAGATGATGTCTGCGGGGGCTCAGGCTGCGAGCCCGGCGGCTTGTTTGAGGACGCTCCTCCGTCTTTTTGTGCAATCCTTCGATGCTCAAACGGTGTCTGGGAAGGTACAAAAAGTCAGACATCTCAAGAATTGAGCTTTTTGCAGATCACTCATGTCACAGACCCCACTCCAAAATTATGATCTGCCAATGGGTTGGATGGTCAGTTAGTGGGCCAGTCAGTCAGTAGGATGTTAATCGGACTGGATGGTCTGTTTGCAGGTGGGCCAATTGGCGTTTTAGCCAGTGAGGATCACTCAGGTCACAAACAAATACAATTGGTCAGTCGGACAGTAAGTCAGACAGTCGTTCAATTGGGTAAAACGAGATGACTCAGGTCACACAACCAATTATAATGATGGTTGGCCAATCGGACGGCCGTCAGATGCTCAGTTGGATGCCGGGTTGGTCGGTAGGTAAATTGGTGTAGATCACTCAAGTCACACAATCAAATAAATATGGTCGGTCGGTTGGCCGCTAACTGGGTCAGTCAGCAGGTCGGTCATTCCAACGATCAGTGGGTCAGTCAGTGGGTTGGCCAGGAGGAGGTCGGTGTAGCTCAGATTTCTGGTCAATTGGATGGCAGATTGATTTGTGGGTAGATTGGTGAAGATCATTCAGGTCAGACAACCTAAGTTGGTTGGTCGGCTACTCAGTTGGGCAGTGAATCAGTCAGCGGGGTAGTGAGTGAGTACCTCAGGTTATGTAAATACAAATATAAATATGGGCAGTCTGTGAGACGACGATTGGTTGAATGTGTGATCAGTGGTGGGTCAGTTTGGGGAGTCGGTCGGTCATCACGATGTAATGACACAGTCAAAGTTTTTATCCAATCGGACCAAGCTATATCCTGGATTACCTCAAGTACCTAGCAATTGATTTGAGGGTAGCTTTAGCCATGACTAAAAGTTGGTCCAGTTCCATCAGATCTTTCTTCCAGAAATGACAACAGAGTCAGTACATTGCTGGATACCAGAGATTAGAAGTGGAACACTTACCGATCCCCAAGCTGCTGTTTTCCAAGGGTGGAGGACACGCACTTCACTGTGACATCCTCTGTGGACCTGGGAGACAGCATCTTGAGCAGCGCGTCCGTCTCTCCGAGGCCGTAGTGCAGCTTGGCCTCAGCAAGCTCCACGGTCAACGGTGTGGTGTTGGCCCCAAGGCCAATGGAAGCCATTACATGCTCCCTTTCCTGACGCAGACACTCGATCTCTCTTAACCTTCCTCCAGAGTTAGAAGTGTAACTCTCGGACGCGTCAGAAAAACCGCAGCGCTTGGATTGCAGAGGATTGATGCCGGACCAGTTGGTGAACTTATTGTGCAAGGGCAGGTCCTCGGGCAGCGTCTCGGTGTCCACTCTGGCGATTGGTTTAGCATTCACCAAGATGTCAGTACTACACTCACTTGGCGTTGGGGATGCCGCCGGAGATGAACTGCAAGCGTTGCCAGAAAAAGGAACCCCTTTAGGCCTTTGCTGGGCCAGTTTGGTGGATTGTATGGCTTTGGATTGGATGACAGGAGCGTCGGCCTCCTTTTCTGTGGCAGAGGCGTAGTTCTGCAGAGAGACTTTTCTCTGCCAGTGAGAACTCTGTGAAGAGTTCCATTTGGGCAGAGGGTCGGTATTCCCATTGCGACGAGGAGTTACGTCCATCGGTGAGCTTTGAAAACAATCCTCTGCGTCTTTAAGACTTGAGCCACTCTTTTCACAGACCTTCTGGGGTGTTTTAGCAGAGCAAATGCCACAATCAAGTCCCGATGACCTGCAAGGATATTCAGGGAAGCTTTTCTCTTCCATGCATCCATTCGGATGTCTTTCTCCAGTCTTCAACGGTTGCCGTACACTCACAGTGACAATGGGGGATGATGCCCGATCTGTGAATGTAGTTGCAGGCTTTGACGAATTTCTCTCACAAGAGATTTGGTTTTCTGGGCATCCGTTTGGTCTCCAGCTTTTTTCAGAGGCGGCGGTAAGACGATGGTGCGACATCTCAGGCGAGGTTTTTTTGATGGGAGTGGATCTTATTTGTCTTTGGTATCCGAAAGGCAGCATTTTTAAAGAAGCAGTCCCTTGTTGGACATCATTAGATGTCCTGACTTCCTTGTCACCAGTCTCAGTTGTTTCCTCCAAACCAAGAGGGTCTTTGTCTGGTGAAAGGACCTCAGCACCAATCAGTCTCAGTGTCACGTTGATCTCGTGTGATTCAGACCTTTGGTGCCTCTCCGTGTTTGTGGGTATCAAACATCTTTCTGTCTGAACACCAACATCCGAGGCGGATTGAGTCGAGCAGTCGACGCTGATATTTGGGATCGGTCGAGAACTTAGCCCGCTGACACGACCCGTCCGCATTCCCTGGACATCTCCGAGCAGGTCCGAGGTGCTGTGGATCAGCTTCGAGAGGTGGACAGACATGCTTTCCATACTGTTCCATGTCAGGAACTTGTTCATTTGAATCGGGGTCTTCGGAACGTCCGTTTGGCTCCTTTTGTGCCTCTCCCTCCTCCGTAGAGCGGCCCGCTCGACCAGTTGGATATGAATGCCGTGTTTATTTGTGGACCTCTGGGAGGAGTTTTGGCTTAACTCTGGATCAGAGGAGTAGACAAACCCGCCGGACAAAGTGATGTTGACTGTTGGTTCAATGCTGCTAAGCGTGCTGGAGAGCCCCTTGTGAGCAGCGTAGGTGCTCAGATGGGAATTGAAGGGCAAGTTCTGTCCGTTTAAGTCGTTATCGACGCTACAGCACCTTTGTATGCGTTTTTCAGCGGCGTTCAAAAGCGGGGATTTGCGCGACAGATTGGCAGCACTGCCGAAGGCGGGGTTCTTGCAGCATGATCGGTCACCATCTTGCCACTGATGAACAAATGGGTTGACATCGCTAGAGGAAAAACGCATGTGAGATTCCTGAGACTTGTCTGCACTCCGCAGGTCATTGGTCCTCGGTGAAATTGATTGTGGAGGTAACGAGAAGCTTTCTCTGGAAAATGCATCGTCTTCTTTCGGATCCATCTTGCAGTTCGTGTTGGAAATCTCAGCATTAGATTGTCTGAGATCTGGTTTGCCTTCACTCTCAAGTAGTAGTTGAGAAAATGACCGCTTGCTAGAGGTTTGATCTTCATCTGATGATGATGTCTGAAAGGAAGCGCAAGGGGGAAGATGTATTTTTGTCCTCCGGAACCTTTTGGACTTGTTATTTTTATTCAGCAGAGACGAATCACACTGTGTGCCAATAGTGACCATTTCAGATCCACAATCACTTACATTGGTGACCGCCTTTTCATCCCTTAATGCTGAAAACCTCTCTGTGACATACACTTCAGACTGACTGGTCACACAAGGTCCTTTATGTTGGACTTTGGCAAATTTGCACGGACAACCTTGACATTTGTTGCTGGTGTTGTAATTCCTACTGGCCCCACAAGACTGAGAATGGTCATTCAAACACGGACTGCTGGACTGATCTCGCCCTTTGGCAGAAGCTTTATTCCCAGATGTGGCATCAGTAAAATTACCTCCATCAGAGGATAACTTGTGGGGGTGCTCAACTTTCTTTGGTAATTGTGTGTTGCATGTGCGACAACAGTCAATACTGGATGTGCCTTCCACACGACAGTTGCCTTTGGTAATGCAAAGCTGCGGCACAGCAGATTTTGGTTGTCTCGCATCATCGGTGCAGCCGCCTTGCACTTCGCGGCCAGTTTGCCTTTTCTCAAATGTTGCCAATGAAGCAACAGTTTTTACTTCAGTAGCCGCAAGTCTCCTTTTGGTAGTTTCTCCATCGTCGGTCAATTCTTTGACCTGATCGCTCCCGTTATCTTGCGTAGGTTTCATTACTTGGTTGATTCTCTGATGATCACAATCGGAGACGAGGCTGCGACTCCGGCTGCTTCTGCTGCCATTGCTGCCAATGAGTGACATCTTTAAATGCTCTTGGACCACTTGTGCAATTCTCAAGTCGATGGCGCTACAAATGGCCTCAGACTGACAGCTATACTTTCTTCCAAGAGTATCGCTGTGACATGCTGCCTCCGTTGTATCAGCAACCACTTGTTTTATTGCTGCATGTTCTACTTTAATATCGGCGACAGAGGGGTCAGTCACAAGTTTTTTCGGTGTGGGATCAGAAATGCCAGCAGAGACAAATCCACAGTTGGAGATTCCTTCATCACAGTGTTCTTTTTTCAAGTTAGGCATGTTATTGTTATCAGAGGAAGTAGCTCCCCGGTTGTCAACAGGTGAAGGGCTTCTTTTTGGAATTTTCAGGCTCCCCACAAAAGCCTCCTGCTGCTCTTGGTTTCTCTTCCTGGAATTTTTACCAGATGAGTCATGCTGCAAGGGAAAATATGTCGCATCGACATCTTTGGTGTCATTCCGGTCTGATGAGTCAGCCTTTGTGAGGGAAGAATCTTTAGTAATCTGATGGCCGGACAGATCAGACTGTTGGTGTGTAACAACTTCACCGTGTCGCACTTCATTTTTGTGGGAAGCCTTAAAAGAAGTTGAAGAGTCTGTTGTAGATTCTTGACTTAACCCCGAAAAGTTTCTTAACAGATGGAGTTCTGTCTGACAACCTGAGGTACGTAGGTCAGTCGCAACACCATTTTCAAGTTTGTGGGGCAGACGTAGAGGATCCGCGACTAAATACTCGGTCCCACTGTCTGGCTGTTCTTTCTCTTTCTGTGACATCAGCTCCTTGGTTGGTTGGTCATTCAAAACCTGTGCGGACGATGTTAAGCTATAACCCCGAGACGGACTCGGGCCATCTGAAACGCTCGCGCTGACTGGGCTGGAAGATTTGCTGCTTTCGTTTCGTGGCGAAGGAGAGTCTCGGCGCAGCCCAGAACTGCCAACCACGTCAAGGGAAGAGCAGGCGTCCATCAGTGGCGGCAGGTTCTCGGACAGCCTTGCAACGACAGAACCAGGGAGACCTGGTTGACCAATGTTATCTTGTACATCTCTAAAAGTGTCTACTACCGCGATTTCAGGTCTTGATTTAAGGGAATCTTGCTGGCTCCGGTGCATCTCTGCGGGGATAGCTTTAGGATCTTGACAGCTGCCCCATTCTGGCCCAATTGCCATTATACTATTGCCGCAACAGGCATCTGTCACCAAAGAGTACGTTGGAACCACTTTCTGGCAAGAGCTCGTTACAGCAGAGCACTTGCCCACCGCGAGCGAGTCTTTCGACATTTCACTGTCTTCGCTCTCTGTTTCGCTTTCAGCCACTTCCTCACTGTTCAGCTGTACAACAAGAGCCGTTGCATATGCAGAGGACAAAGAATCGAGGGAGAAGATGCTGTCAGAGTCAGAGGAACCTTCCTGCCGTTCCTCTACTACTTTCCATTCACATTTATCCTTCCATCGTTGCTGTCTCTCCAACCACTGGCCTGTCTTGTTCCTCAGAGCCTCTGTGCTGTGCCACCTTTTCGGACACGCTAATGGATTGCTCTGCTCGAGCTCTTCACAAGAGATGGCTGTTTTAATGGGACTTCCACTCATCACATCACTATCTTCATAGCTTCTAAGAGATCGATTGGCCGTCTTTCCGACAACTTTGGGGTCATTTGAAACCGATGGCAGTTTTTGCGACACTTTGGGATCCACAGAATTAGCGAAGTATTTTCTGCTGACACTCGACTGTGTTTGTCTTTTTACATCAACGCAAGGAATTATTGGTATGGTGGTTGCGACATTTTCTTTGCCGAGCGGCTGCACGGGGATACAAAGGGGCAACTTTGGTGGAGCTGCCGTGTTCTGGTCTGATCTGTTCTTAAAAGACAATTCTCTTTGTGGCAGCAGGGGTTTTCGTTCAGTGCGCCACCGACATTGCGGTTCCACGGAATTCTCCTCCTCCTTGGAATTCAGTGCAATGTTTTCGGAGGATCTGCCTCTTCCATGGCAGGACTGACTTACTCCTGAAGGAAGTGTGTCAGAGCAACTCCAGGTCCTTTCCCGGGGGAGGCACTCATCTGAAACCCACTTCCTGCTCCGAACACATGCAGGAGATCTGAAATTTGAAGTCAGTTCTGTGGATTTCTTTCTCTTCAGGAAGTGTCTGTTGAGGGAAAAGAAACTTTCAGTGAAATATTTTTCATATTTGTGAGTTCAGGAAATAGTTTGTCAAGTTTGTATACGCTTACTTGAAGATTGGGGTATGTTGTGGGTACAGGCGGGACACAAGATCAACGGAGAAGGAAGGTTTTGGAGAAACAAACTTCGGTGGAAACCCCTCCTCGGGGGTCTCCGTTCCAGAGGGTAGGGCCTTTTCCAGTTGCTGCAATACTCTCTTTGCTTCCAACAGACGCCTCTTGCGGGCAACTCTCTCCAGTTGGAACTGCAGCTTCTTCCGGTGAATGCGGCTCTCCGCGCGACACAGGGCGTGATGCTTCAGTAGCTCCTCCTGGACTGCCGTCTTCCTGACCCTGACAACCAGTGACGGACAATTCTCTGTCTGAACTTCCTGACCGTCCAACACATATCTGTTGAGGCGCTCCAGAAGGGGGTCCGGATGGGAGTCCGTTTGAACTCCAAGGTCCTGAGTGACTCCTTCCTCAGCAGCTAACAGGTCACGCTTCTTCTGCAGGATCCACTGGTGGACTGTTGGTTTAAGAGTCACAACAACAATTAGCATTAATGAACATATCTCTTTGATTCTCAATGTATATTATAATAGCAACAAATTTATTACCTTAAAAGGGGCCTCAACATGCCTGTAAAAACAATTTTTTCCACATGCAGGTATCCTGGTGGCAATTTATGTCCTTTTAGTGTGCATGATACCATTTTCACCGATTCGTACGCAACTCGGCGGACACATCTATCAATCGCATGGAAAAGTCTCAAGGAGTTTTTCGAAATAAACAAGAGCCATTTTGGACAAAGTCCAGGGATCGCAATTTGACTCCTACTTGGGAATTTGCTCAAACGAACCCAATCAGAAATTTCTAACACAGGAAAGGCATGGCATCAAATTTCACGTTTCAAGTATTCTTAGAAAATAAGCCCCTAACAGCAGTTTTAACCCGAAATTGAGTGAACACGTCTTTCATCACAAGATGCATAAAAAAGTTTGACGTCGTGCATAACATTAAACGGAATTTCGTCCAATTTGGTTTGCAGCAGCCATTCTAGCTTCTTGGCTCATCGCAACTTTCAGTTTTGCTTACTCTCGCTGTGCTGCTGCCGAAGTTGGGCCTGCTCCCTCTCCAGCTCCTTCTCGGTCCGCCTCTGCTCAGAGCCAATCTCCTGGCGCAAACCCTCCACATAGCGCTGCTGCTCCTCCACATGCCGCCTGGCAGTGGACTCCTCGCCAAGGGACAAACACACCGCAGGCAGCCCTTCTTCTTCTTTGCTATAAAAGAGACTAATGAGCAACGTTGGACCAAAAAAAAAAAAACAAAAAACGTCTGGTTGAATTTTTAGGGTGCTTGCATTTACCGGTGGTCAAAGGTCTGAGGGCAAATGTCAACGTAGCTGCCTTCACTTGCCTGAAATGAGAGAAAGCAAAACATTGGGCAGTCGGTAACAATCAAGACGTTTAAAATTTGAGCTGGGCTGCACGTACCCTGCGTCTCCGCTCCCGGAGGACCGCCGCCTCCGCTGGGTGGTTAAAGCGAAATTTATGAAGCCCTCCCAAGGTGATCACTGTTCCTGGAGAGCGGAGACAAAACAGAAGTAGTGTGTACCGTGGATTGATGTACCGTCAGCAGGTACCCCTTTTTTTGCTGTATCATTGTAACGTTCTGCAACAGGACAAAACTGACCAGTCAATTCCCAGAATGTAATGGCTGTACAAGTGGGAAGACTGACCTTGCGCCAGCCTACAGGGCTCAGTGATTTCCCTGTCGTTGAGGAGGCAGGTGCAACCCGGCAGCGGCCTCAGCGTGACCACACCACCGTCGTTTTGGATCTCACAGTTGGCACCAGTTGGCAGAACTAATAAACGCAGTTAAAAGCATTTTTGAAAGGGACACACAGTAAACCCTCGCCTAGTCATGAATTGCCATTTGAGAACTCTTTTAAATGTCAAACTACTTTGGATTTGTTCGGAAAATGCACCTATCTGAGCAGTATTGCTTTGGAATGTTTTACAGGAAACAGCAACATGATGAAAGAATCCAAAACAGGGAAAAAAAAATTTCGAAAAAATAATTTAAAAAAATGGTCCATATGACTTTCGGCACCGGTCGAAGTTAACATCCGCTAACGGCTAGCTGCTCAACATAAGGTACAGTGAGAGCCCAACTAAAGATAGTCTTTTGCAACGTACTGTAAATGAGTCAGAAACGTAATAAAAAGGTCAATGGGCAAAAATTATCAATAATGGATATCCCACAGGGAAAAAAATGTGATTTTGAAATTAGGGCACAGGTGAAATGAGAGTGGGGTGTTTTTCCACCAAGCTCATACAGTACCTATTTGTGGTTCTTCAAACTGGTCTTTGGGTCCAATGCGGGTAACTCCTTCCTGTCATGAAAATGGGTGCAAATGATACAATAGATTATGTTCGGAAATCCTTTCATTTCTCATCTCCTCCTCTTTCATTTAGTGGGGGATTAAGAGACAAGGTTGCCATGCCGACACTCTTTATGGACATGTGTCAGGCCTGAGATGTGCGCTTGGCGACGTCAAAGTCCAAGCCTCTTTTTGAGATGGGCGATGGACAGGAAAAGAGAAGTCAATCACCTTTTCTCATTGTAGCAGAACAAGAGACAAAGCAAAAGAAGGAAGAGGAAGAATCTAGCAAAGAAAAAGAGAAAAGATATAAGTCAGGACAGCTGAGAAAAAAAAAGGGAAAGGGAGGAATAAAACCATGCGCACGCACGCACACGCACACAGCCAACCCAAGGCAGAGGCCAACTCAGCACACACACCACCACAAACGGACACTTAGAAATCGAAAATGTGCCATCGGTACCATGAGGTGATACAAGACCACGCCGGTGCTGAGGACGTCCCCATCCAGGGCGAGCAGGTGCGGCCTCAGCGAGTTGATCAGGAAGCTGGCGCGGTCCCGGTTGATGTCCACGCTGTACTGCTCCAGCAGCTCTCGCTTGTCCCGCCAACTTTCCGACCAGTCTTTGGTCAGCTGCTCCACCTGAGGGACACAGAGGACAATGGTTAAAACCTGCGTGTGCCCCGACGGTAAGTTGTTCGCAACAGCAGTCGTCCATATATCACTTTTTGGATGTGAATACTTTCCAGACAAAAACTGTCCAATGACAGGCGCTACCTTCATCTCGTTTTGCAGCACGATGTCCGACAGCGTCCCCTCTCTCTCGTCACTCAGGGACGGACTGGGATCACGCTGCTGTCAATGCGGAAGAAAAACAATTTTTTTATATCTGTATATATAGATCGATAGATAGATTGATAGATAGATAGACAGACATGGGGGGGGTGTTGTTGTTGTTTTTTTTTTTTTTACCATTTCAAAGGTGAGCAGCATGCTCTTCAGCCGGTCAATCTCTTCCCTCAGCTCCCGGATCAGCCGCACGTTGGCGTCCTGCGACAACATGAAATGATTATTTGGAGGGTTTATTTTTCGCTTTTTCATGACTACGAAGAGCCTTTGTAATATCAGGTGTATGACCTCGTTGACCCGGGGCTTGTTGACGATATTTCGGGCGTGGGCAGCGTAGCGCAGGGTGCTGAGAGTCTCGTTGTAGCTGCTGGCGGAGGGGGAGACGGCTGCAAGGAAAAATCAAATTAACAAGAAATAAAAAAATCAAACTGCATGACTTTTTACAGTGCTTTTGTTTTGACTTGGTCCAATATCAATTGAGACCCCCCGCCCCCCCCGTACTCATATTTTGTGACACGTACTTGCGATCATAATGGTCTTGGAGTTGCCCCCCAGGCTATCCTTCAGCAGCCAGGTGAGGACAGAGTCCCTGTAAGGGATGAAGCAGTGCCTCCTGCCCGCACTTGCACCACCAGACAGGAAGCTGCTGTGGCTTCCCGCCGTGCTGCCGTCGCCCTCCGACGCCACGCTGTTGATGCTCTGGCAGCTGCTGGACATCTGCGAGTTCTGGGCTGTGGACGAAGCGCGTGAGCATCAACAGCTTGGGGGGGGTGGGGGGTGAAACGAGCCTTTTGAATGAAGTCGGAAGGTGCGAGCGCTAACCCAAGGCGGAAATGACGATGCCCAGCGTGACCAGCGACTTGTTGATGTTGGAGCCCTCAGTTAGTCTGTCTCTGCAGTAGTTGGGATCCGCTCTCTCACTAAAGGCACAAACAGATTGTGTGAGATGTGGGACATGCGGAAAATTCAGTTTTAATTCGCGGACATATAAAGAAATACATTTGTGAAAAGGTATAGAAAAAAGGGATTTAATTCAGCTGGAGGAAAAGCTGCACTTATATCTGCAGACACTAGAAGGCGGCTTTTTCAGCTGGGTCTCACCTCCCGGCCAGGTCCACCAGATTGATCTTGCTGACGGTTTCTGAAGGACGATTGTTCTCAAGTGAGGCCTGTGAGCAGAAAGTGAGATCAGCAAGGCTGAGATTCTCTGCAATAAAATGACAGCATTTCCACGTTCGCTATTAACAGCGGCGTTCAAACCTGAGTGTACTGGATGGTGAAGATGGCGTGCGAGCGGCTGCTGGCGTCGTGGTTGTGCGTCGCCGCCGTGATGCGGTTGGCGACGCCCGCCTCCAGGAGGTCCATGGCCTGCTGGCAGTTTGACACCACATGCTGCGACAGGTCTGAATCAAAGACAAATGAACAGGGGATGGATGACATTGTGTGGCGGGACGAAAAAAAAAAAAAAGGAAAAAAAAAAACTTGGAATGACACACAATGTCGCTGCAGCGACTTCAAACGTGCCATTACTTTGACCTGCGTTAACGGTGCTCACAGGAAATGATCTCACTTCCTGTGGAGTTCACTGGCCGCACTGGTGTGCGGCGGGGTGGGTTTAGTTTGAAGCAAAAAAAAATAAATAAAAAAGCCAGTGTGTGGCTTGACTGTAGTTGGCAGCTGCGCTCACCTTGCACGTAGGGCCCTTTCTCGGGATGCTCTCTGACTCTTAGCGAGGCTCTCTTCTTCTGCTCGCCGGCGCCCAGCAGGTCTCGCACTCGCTCGTTATAGATTTCCAGAAAACTGCACAGTCAACAATTTATTTATTTATTTATTTGTTGATTTTTTTTAACCAAGTTCAGATTCATTGGAACACCACAAACTCCTTCCCGCTCACCCCCCGGCCATCTGATAATTCAAATCAAATTTGAGTGAGTCAATACTGCCACACCTGGTGATACAGCTTAAGAGTAGTGGCGTCCAAACCACGGCCCCGGGGACATTTGCGGCCGGTCATCCATTTTTCACATGATAAATTAAAAAGATGATGTCTTTTGTGTGTAAGTGGGGCACAACAAATACGCGGCAAGTTGCCCAAACGCAGACGAGAAACAGGAAAAACGAGCTGAACGTCATTTATTTTCCCCCTGAGCTTTGCGGGATAACTGCTGTGTTTGGATTTCAGGTGAAACGAGGAGACGCAAACGAAGCATCACCTGATCTCCACCCTGCTGGAGTTCTGCCCGTCGGGAAGCGTATCCTGAGACCGGAGCAGGGCCTTTCAGGAAAATGCCAGATTTCAGTTTTATTCAATGTGAATGTTGCTAAAGTAGATTTGAAGCTGCTCGCGTACCTGGCAGATCCGAGGCGTCAAACCGGTGGAGTCCTGTTGTCACACGGAAGGCAGAATAACAGTTAGGAATTTAGGGAATAATTACAGTACAGTACAACCGTGCCGATTCAAGAATCAGCAATTTGGGAAAACACTGACTTGAAATGTATTTTTTTGTGGAACACAACCAAAATTGTTGCTTAAAAAAAGCAGTTTTTCGCATGAATCTGCATATGTTTGTGTAAGTCTGTTAAGTTGTGTTAAGGTTGGAAGATGATGATGACATGACATTCAAACATTTGGGCATCATGGTGTGGGGTAGGCAGGTATTTAGGGTTGAAAGAAAAAAAAAAAACGGAAATCAAAAACTATGATCCTTACCGGCGTGCCCATCATAGTGTACGTCTTGCCAGATCCCGTTTGGCCGTAAGCGAACAGACACACGTTGTAGCCCTCGGAAGCTCCCGCCAGCACAGACGCACCCAAGTCCTGGAATATCTGGCCAACAGACAAACCGACAGAGAGACAGATACAGGAAAACAGCCGACAGAAGTGAAGTAAACTGTAAATACTTTCAAATCCAGGTTAAAGAAGATGCCCCCCCCCCCAAACCCATTCTTATAATTAAGATCTTTTAAAGCCGTATCCGATGCATTTACATTGAGAAAAGTAAATGTGGGATCACTATTGGCATTCATCCATAATATCATCTGTCGAGGATACCCAATTGGGGCTAATTTGGGCATTCACTCATCAAATTCTGAGGCCTGAGATTCACCCAAAATGACAGTCCCCCCCCCCCCCCCCCCCC